TTGGAAAGAAAAAACTAAAAAATTTTAAGTAAATTTCAGAAATTTTTTTAAAAAAAAAAAAAAAAAAAAAACGACATTTCTGAGCTTGGAAAGTCAAAAATTGGTGAGAAAAAACTCAGAAAGTTTTAGATTAATCAACGGTATATTAAGGCAGCAATATCAAAACTGCAGATGTTGAAACCGCAAACATTGGTATCACTCAAGACTTTTGCACATGAATATCTCAAGCTTTATAAAAAAGTGCCAAATCATAAATAACATAGTAAATGGACAAAAAAAACTGGAATACAAGCCATGATTTTTAATTTTACATTTATTTTATTACTAAAAAAGGCACCAAATACAGGCATCATACTAATATTGTGTTTTTCAAAAATTATAGCACCAAAAATATATATTTTTTTCTCCCAAAATCCCCCGTTTTCATGTTTTTATAGGCACACATTTGAAAAAGAAGTGTTTTTAGATAAATACAAACCAGTGTCAAACACTTTAAAAACAACATCAGTAGCTGGGCTGTAATGTAACAAATGAGACAGATGAAACATAAATGAATGAAGAGTAACAGAGTGAGATCTGAGTCTTTGGGCCGAACAACGGCAGGCGGACGCATCATTCTTATAAAAACACGTTTTATAAAACGAGATAACTTTCATTCAGACAGTAGTAAGGCTGAAGCAGTCATTTGGGTGAACGGTTTATTACACTCAGACGCTCTGCGATTGAAATACTTTGGACGATCTGTTCTGTCTCATGAGCAAAAATACTGCATGGCACTTAGAAATCGGCAGCTGATTGGATTACAGTACAAGCAAGGAAATAAAGAGGGTTAAAAAACAAGAAATTGTGTTCAAAATGGCAGTAAGTATAACTATTTTAACCCCCTTTTACAGTGGATAAACACCAAGGTAGTTGATAAAATAAATGGCTTTTTAGTGAGAACAGAGAGAGCTTTATATCAAATTAAAACAATAAATATCATAAAAATGGAAAGAGTAGGATAGTTTGTCCAGGCTACAATAACACAGCAGATCCGACTTTTCTTTAGAGATGCTCTGATACAATATTAATATGTTAATCTAATTTTTGGGTTTCAAATCATTAATAATTGTGTAACTTTCACCGTCTTTCTGAAATGACCAACTGAAAATACGAGACGATTTTACAATTTTAACATTTTTGGAGATTAAACTATTTATATTTTCAGTTTATGAAAACTTATAGGGAGCCTTTATTATTTAGAATTAAAGCAGCTGTGTGTTTTTAGAAGCAGCAAAAACCCAAATGGAAGTAGAAAAAGGTGCAAAATGTGAATTCTGCATAATAGATTCCCCTTAATAACAGAAAATGTCTCCGTTACTAAAATAGATTGTGTTCAAAGCATGATAGGCCTTACAGGTGACAGCAGAATGGCATTAATCCAGAGTAAAAGGGGGTGTAATCAAGGCTTAAAATGCTTTTTAATTAAATAAGTCAAAGCTCTTCTAGGTGAAGAAAAGACTAACTGAAGTTGTGACATAATTGCACTTGAAGGCATCATTCATTTTATTTGCACTCACTCAGCCTGCAACAAAAGCAGCTTTGTTTGTGCTTTATATTTAAACAACTTCAGCAGGTGAAGAGGTTGTTCCAGTTGATTTATCTGCAGGATGACTGTGTGACATGCGAGGTAAAGATGCAGGAAAGGAGGACATTTTTCCTCTCCTGCCTCTTCGTACAGCAGTGAAATGAAACGATGCAGCAGATGGAAGCCATCAGAGCTACTGTTCACCTTCCCGGCGGTGAAACCGAGATGTCGACTAAAAAGAGAAATAAAGATGGAAATCAGACGCAGCTGAGCAGTTTGTGGATTCCTGAGGTAGCCCAGTTGGCTGAACGTCACACGCTTACCTTTTTTTTCTCAAAGTGGTATAAAAATACATAAACAAAACATTCCTTTAAGTACAAATTTTCAGTTTAGAAAATACCAATTTTTGATGCTGTTTTGTTGTCCTTTGTCAGGAGCTGCGTTTCCGTTACAGACGTGTGCAAAACTTTGTCAATATTCTGCTAATTTAGAGAAAAAAAACAATTTCGCAACAATAGTGTTTTCCATTACAACAGAAACGCAATTATAATCACATGTGAATAAGTTTGTTCACACAATAAGTCATTAAAAAACATGCCGCTCAATTATCCTTCAACTACTTCCTGTCATCTTCTCTTTGTAGTTTTTGCCAGTAGTAACATCTGGCTGTTGATCACATGACTCGTAATGATGTGAGGAACATGTTTCTATTACGGTTTTACGAAATACACCAATTTCGATACGGCCAAAAAAAAAAAAAAAAAAAGAAAAACAAAAAAAAGAAAAAAATCACCTGAGCGCCAAAACGTATTGAAAACAGTTTTCTTTTTTAAATTGGTGCTTTTATTGGGCAGATTTATTTTCAAGATGTCAATTTGCACAATTTTATTGTCAAAAAATTGCGCAATTTGACATTTCGAGAGATTTCTTATTAATTGCTGAATTTCGATTAAGCAAATTTATTTTCTAAATGTCAGGTTAATGAAAACAGAGTTATTGACCTTAAAAATGTAAAAAAAATTTTACAAATAGTCTTGCTGCTAGGATGAAATAGTTTTTATCTCAATTGGTTTATGTTGGTTTATGTTGTCAATGGCAACATTTCTTTGCATGGAACAAGTCCCAGGATCAACAACCGGATGTTGCCACTGGTGAAAACCACAAAGAAGACGACAGCAGGATGTAGTTGGAGAGTCATGCGTGGCATGTTTTTTTCATGACTTGTCTCGTAAAGAAACTTATTCTCGTGTGACTTTAATTGCGTTTCATATTTAGCGGAAACACTGCAACTGCGTAGTTGTGTCTTTTCAGTATAAGTGGAATACTGACAAAGTTTTGCTCACATGTGACAGAAAAGAAGCTAACGGAAACGCAGCGAGTGTCTCAGACCTCGGTGCCGTCGCCGAGGTTGTTGTGGATTTTGACCTCCAGGTTGACCTGCTTCACTTTGCCGTTCGGCTCCTGGTTGCGGTTGATGTTGACGTTCCTAACGGTGCAGTGCTTCGTGCCGAAGTTCTTCTCCACGCACTTGTCCATGCACACCTCCACCTTGGTGTTGAGCGGATACTCTTCGTAGGCCTTCGGCGTCTTCGTCGCCTTCTTGGCCGACCGCCTGCAGCGGCGGAACAGGAAGCAGGAAGCCAGCAGCGCCAGGACCAGCAGGGTGATGGCGGCCACGCCCCCGCCCATGGAGCTGCCCACGTGGGCGTTGAAGGTGGCGGACGGGCCGGCCTCCAGGCGCAGCGACTTCATGTTGGTGCCGTTCTTCACCTGGTCGCCCTCGTTGTCGTAGATGAGCGACTCGTCGAGCGTCAGGCGCCCGCTGCGGTCCACCAGGTCGCGTTTGGAGCGGCTCACCTGATACGTCAACGAGCGCTGAATCCTGGGGCTGGAGCGCGACTCTGGGCCGATGACGTAGATCACCTGCAGGTACCACTGGTGGCCCGCCTCCACCTGTCAGTCAGAGAGGTCATTTATTAATCAGTAATTTATTTATTAGTTTAGTTTCTCTGTTTTTACTGAGTTATCTTTGGGTTAATAATGGAGTATTGAGCAAAACGCATCCATGGATTTAAGGATCAAATTTCCAATAAAATGCAGCGACTTTTACAATAAAAATAACAAAAACTACTGCAGAATTAGAGTTAGACTAAGAGAGTTGTGTTTTTTTTAGATTACGGAAATGAAATGCTAATAGTAGGAGAATAAACTCATATTACCAGAATAAAGTAGTAAGATTTAAGTCATAATATTACTAGAATGAAGTAACATTAACACAAGTATAAAGTAGTAATTTTGTGAAAACTCCTCCTCACAGAGTTTCCACTCTGTTAAAACTGGGAATATTGAACATCTGGTGACGCTGAGTATCTGTTTTAAAAACTAAGAAAAACTCAATCATTTAACAAATTATTATCATTAGCACGACCTTGAAGCGACTGTGAAAATTACTGAGTTTATTTCAAAGAAAGAACCAAATGGACTAACCAATCAGGTCATATCAGATCTTAACACAACATTTTCTTGTAATTTCACAATTTTCTTCTGCTAATATTATGACTGCATTCTCATAATATTACACATTTTTCTTGTAATAAAACAATACTCTAAACAAAACAGGAAGTCACTCACCTTGTAAAGAGCGTCCACCTTCATGGTGAAGCCGTCGACGCCCGGCATGGCTGCCATGGCCTGCAGCTCTGGGACGTCGGAGGCAAAATCTGCCTCGAACGGAACGTCGTGAAAAAACTTGTGGCATACGTCCGGCTGTTTACGATCCTGAAACACAATTAGAGCAGATCGAAACAGAATAGTAAACAAAAACAGTTTAAAACTAAAATGGTCGCTTTGATTTTTAAACCAGTGGCACTCTCAGAAAATGTCAGGAGCCATGGGCCCCAATATCCCCCAACCTGGGGGCGCCACTGTTTTAAACATAAATACCTGGTTTTCAATATCAAAAACTAAGAGAACTACAGCAGGAAACCTTATGGTAGTTAGAATACCACCTGGATGACAAACCCAGTTTGTCCAGTGTGACCTGGTATGGAAAGCTGTTAAACTGGAAAGTTTTCTTTGAGCATTTTGCTGTGAAAGAACAACCAGGATGCCTTGAAATATATTTTTGTAATTTATTTTTTAGAGAAAAATAAATTACAAAAAAAAAATTAATTATTATGCATGAGAAAAATAACCATAAAACCAGCAGTGGCCCACGTCTTGTTGTTTGTTGTTATATATTTAAATTGTCAAAGGAGGGCAGAGTTCTCAAAAATTTTACTCATGTAAATGCAGTACTACTTAATATTTTTACTCCAGTAAAAGCAAAAAGTACAGCATAGTAAAAGTACTAAAAAAGGTTAAAAAAAAAATCAAAAAAATGTTACTCATAAATGTAACTGAGTCAATGCAACTAGATACTAAACAATTCTGTAAACTGTTCAGATTTCATGGTAACAACCACAAATTTATGTGTGGAATAAATGAAACTCTCAGAAGTGCAGAAGAAATAAATGAACTAACTTTCAGAGAGATGTGTTATAAAGAGTCCAGTAGGTAAAAGAAATGTGAAACAATAAAAATAAACAATAAACCCAAAATATTCATAAAAAGCAAACAGATTAAATGAATGTTTGTGTTTACCAGCAGCAGGAAGCGATGTTTGAGATGTTTGTTGGGTTGGATGCAGCCGTACTGCGGCCCCTCATTGTACAGGGTCCCAGTGGGATCGAAGAAGGGAACGTAGCCATCCCGCCCCGTGCACAGGTAGACCTTCTCCAGCTGCAGCCTGTATGCTGCGTTCAGGTTCTGCTCCGGGTTCCACAGCACTCTGCCGTACAGAGTCTGGCCTGCAGGGGGCAGCGAGTGGACCAGAGAGGAGTTAAAAGGTTTAAGTAAGCGGTTTCACTGCATGTGATAAAACAAATACTTGCATTTAGTTGTAATTGTAAAAATAGTACGACTGGACAATAAAGCAATAATATATATCGTGACAGACATGTGATCAATGTTAATGTAGAATACATCTCAATATGGAATATATAGAATATTCGCTGAACTCCGATCCAGAACCGCACAGCATTCTGGGGGATATAGGCAGAGGGAACCCTTTAGCCAGCTAAGCAAAGTTGGTGGAATCAACTAACTCACTCACTCTTTGGTTACCTAGCAACAACCTGCTGGGTGACAAGCAGTTCCAAGTTCCTCCTCCTAAACTTCAGTTACCTAGCAACAACCTGCTGGGTAACAAGCAGTTTCAAGTTCCTCCCCCCAAACTTCGGTTACCTAGCAACAACTTGTTGAGTAACTGGCGCAGCAGCAGTTTAATATTTCGCCACCGTGCCTCATAACTTGTTTAAAAATAAAAAACAACAGCGTGGAGTGAAAAACTGAATAAAACGGGAAACGTCACTACACCAGCCTGGCAGTATTTCAGATATTTAAAACAAAAAACTAATCAACATTTATTGATATTGACTGATGTGAAATGGTTATATAATGACATGTTTTCAGTTTAACTGCATTTTGCCAGACTGCTTCTGAGAAAATAAATAAATCAAATGTGTACAGCTACAATAATCAAACATAAGTAAAAATAGAGTTATAAATTTGCATTTCTCATGAAGATGTGATTAACGCCATAAGTTTTTAATTTCTAATAAAAATAGAAAAACTTCAGACTTTTTTATAACTCAGTTACTGTCAAATTAACAGCTTTGGCTCAATTAAATAATTTCTGGATTCTGTGATTTAAATATTCAGTGACAGCTATAAAATTAAGATATATATTTATCAGATCCTATTTATATCAGACATCCTTGGAAGCTAAATATGGAAAATGTGGAATAGCATGAAGGATGGGTTATTTTTGACTCCTACCCATGGAGAAGGCTCCCTTGTAATCCATCTCAGCCATGGAGACGTCGGCGGAGGCTGGATCCAGCAGGAAAACCTTCTCGTTGTTGCACAGCTGGAACTCCGTGTTGAGGGAGTAAACAACCGGAACGGGCCGGTTGGTCTGCTGGAAGGCGATCGGAACGAGGAACCTGTTGGAGTAGAAAAAACCCCATTCAGGATTCATGCTGATAAAGGGTTCCTCCAGGTTTCACCACCTCATCTTTAAGGCTCTTTAAGACCATTGTGAATTAAATTTAAGAACTGTATCACAACAGAAATGTACAAAAGAAAACTGTATATTTTACAATGTAATAGTGCCAAGTTTTTTTATATGGGTCGACAACAGACCCATAAAACAGACAACAACAACAGAGGTTTGTGGCGAAGACGAACGTCCAGCCAACTGGTGATAAATTCACACTTTCACTTGATAGACCGCAAAAAAGCTAGCCAGCAAGGACATATTAGCAGCTAGATAGCGGTAGCCTCAACCACCTCAAGTCACAGAATGGAGTGGCTATAAATTTACACTTTGTCATTACAGACGCAAAAAAAGCTAGCTGGGTTATAATTAACAGCAAGTTAGCTCAACCAACTAAAGTCACAGAACACAATGGTGATAAATTACACTTTTCCACAATAGATGAAAAGTGTCTAATAATTAAGATCACTTGCTATTAGCAGCTAGTTAGCGTTAGCCTCAACTGCCTCAAGTCGCACAACAAAATGGAGATAAATGTACACGTTCTCATGACAGACTCAGAAAAAGCAAGTTAGCTATTAACTAACATAAGGATATATTATCAGCTAGTCAAGTCACATAAGGATAAATTACCCGGTTAGTAAGGATATATTAGCAGCTAGTTAGCGGTAGCTCAACCAACTCCAGTCACAAGAGGAAATTGCAATAAATTTACACTTTCTCAGGATAGGCACAAAAATGCTAGCAAGCTAGTTAGCAAAGATACATTAGCAGCTAGTTAGCGGTAGCCTCAACCAACTCAAGTCACAGAACGTATTGAAGATGTCTGTGCAAGAATCAAATGTTTGCTTGATATAAAAGTCCAGCAAGAAAAATAAACTACATAGAATATACAAAATTAAGTAATTGATTAAATTTAAGACCTGCGATTAACTTTTTAAAGGCCAACTTACATTTCTCCATGGATTTAAGACATTTCAAGGCCTTAATTTTAGAAGCATAACTCAGAGTTTTTAAGGACATGCTGTAATATCTCAGATTTCCAGAATCTGTGGGCCGTACTTCTCTGGAGCGTGAGCCGTGCAGGACAGAGGTTTATCTCCCGGGTCGATCCAGGGCTGGGTCGGCTGAACAGTGCACGGGATCAAGAAGACGGTGTACTCCCCAGAGTAGTCCTTCCTGCAGAATGTGCAAAGAATATTAGATGCTCACAAAGGAATCAAGATGAGAAAATCTACAGAGATGAACGTGAAGCTTGTTAAGTCAATCAAGAAATGTTAAAACATCTTGAGAGGAGATGAAAAATATGCTTATTCCACATATACACTGCAAAAACACAAAATCTTACCAAGTGTTTGGTCTAGTTTCTAATGCGAGGACACTTGAAATGAGTCACAACTATCTTACAAGTTGTAGTTATTGATTTATTTTGGGCCATGTAAAGAAAAAGAATTAAGATTATACTCTAAGTAAAAAAGGAACAAACTAATGGTTAGTAATACAAATAGAATCAGGACGAGACTTTATCTGAGTTATCCAATTCATGTTTTAAATAATAATACTCTGCAACAATAAGAGCCTGTTTTAAATCAATAACTTCTTATTGGTGGAAAAAAGACTCATTCCACTGGCCAATTATTTCACTTAAGCATTGGAAAAAATTCTTATAAGTGAAATAATCTGCCGGTGAAACTAGTATTTTCCATCAATATTAAGGAATTATTTACTTAAAACAAGCTCCTAATTCTTGCTGAAAAGTTACTTGCAAGTTAGTTTTATTTTATTTCAAGTGTACTAAAATATTTGTAGTAGAAACTGGACTAAAAATACTTGGTAATATCTTGTGTTTTTACTTGGTAATATCTTGTGTTTTGACTTGGTAATATCTTGTTTTTTTACTTGGTAATATCTTGTGTTTTTGCAGTGTTGTGCATTTAAATGAAAACACCCTCCATTCCGCATTAGACTGTTTCTTCTGTGTGTTTTTCAGATTTCGGTAAAGCGTTCCCACCTGCTGTAGGAGCTGGTGGCCCTCCACAGCTGATACGGCGAGTCGAAGGTCTGTGCGCTCCACAGAAGCTGCATGTCGAACTCGATGCCCCCCAGGTGGTCGGGGGCCATCAGGCGAGATTTGTGACCCGGCAGAGTGTGGTGATCCAGAACAAACTGACCTGAAGGAAAGTAAACGGCAGGAAACAATGCATATAAGGCTTTCACTAAAAAAACAGCTGCAGCATGTTTTTTTATATTTCCTCTTAATTACACATTGAAAGAATTAAAAATGTGTTTCTCTGTTGCTGTGAACCGACCTCTGAATTTGGCGTGAGTTTTGAACTCGATCACAAGCCGGCCGTCCTCTCTGATGAAGATCCTGATGATCTGCAGTCTGGCTGAAAGGACGCTGTCAGTCTGGATCCCTGCAGACAGGAAAACAACAGAGGATAAGAGCCAAGGTGCAACCCTTATCACAGTAACCTCTCCCTCAGTTATCTGATGTTAAACGGTTTTAATTTCCGTTCCGGAGGCTGAGGCGTAAAGAGAATTGATCAGGAGTGATTTTTTTTCTGCGTTTAGTCCTGACCTGTCCTCCAGAGCACCGTGTCGTAGAAGAAGGAGAACTCCATCTCGGTGTGATGCTCCAGAGAGGCCCAGCCTCTGGGCGCCGTCACGTAGATGTAGGAGACGTAGAGAGGAACCTGCACAGTCAGGAAGGACTGAGCCGAGTCCCGAACCTGAAAAAACAAACAAAAATAGCAAAAAAGTGTCGTTTAATTCTGTTTCTCCACCAAAAAATCTAAAAAAAAAAAAGAATGCAGCAAGTGGTTTCTGGATGGAAGGATGACGACAAAACACTTGTGTTCCCAGCAGCCATTATACAACACATACAGCAGTAAAATCAGCTGTGCTTGGCTTGGCTGGGGTTGCTAGGTAATGGTGCAGTGCACGTCAAATGTGATTTAATAATCAGGAGGTTTCTGAAATGGCTCGCTTTCCAGACACCAAAAAACATGAGCTTATTGACAAAACCAGCTTGGTGAGACTTTTTTAGTGCTTGGGCTGTTTTAGGAAACAGCAGAGCCACAAATATAGGTACAGAAATGTGCAAAATGTGAATTTTGTATAATTCGTTCCCTTTTGAACACTCCGAATAAGAACAGAAGAAGAAAACAGAATCCACCATCCTTCCATTTATCCATTCACTGAACTGACTGAGTAATCTGAAGTTGTGTTGTTCTTAGATGTTTGGCGAAGCTGTGAAGCTACTGGTGTATCTTAGTGAGCTGTACTGGTACTGCGCAATCAAATGAATTTGTAATTCAGTACATTTATGTCTGGATATAAAAAAAAAGAAATTTCAAGCCAATCCAGCAATGTTTTTCTTTATTGGTTCGTAAACCTCAGATATCTGTACCGGTATCAGAAGCGTAAGAAGGGGATCGGTGCGTCCGGTAACCCTACACCTAGAACAAAGTGATGCTTGACCCACCTGGAAATCAGCGGTGACGGAGCCGCCGCAGACGTCGATGAGCTCGGTCATGTCGTAGTAGGCGTCAAAGGTCCAGATGCAGCTCTTCAGGTTCAGGTGCTTGTAGAGCTGGATGCTCTTGGCCTCCCGTACGTTGGGGTTAAACTGGTAGGGGCGGTCGTAGCCTGGACCAAGAGAGATGCTGTCGTAGGAAACGTCATCCAGGAAGCCAGACTCTGTGGAAGGACAGCGATTCTCATTAAACCACAGAATTAGGAGGGAGGGTGGTACATTTTAACAAATTAAACTCTCTGAAATGCCTCTAAACATGTTTTGTTCACTTTTCCCACAGTAAAATTCAAGTAAATATTCTTCAAGGTAAGTGAGTTAAAAACAATACAAATACTGCAAAAACATATTTCTGGTTGAGTTTGCAGTAATTTTTCAGCCAGATAAAGGAGTTTTAGGTCAACAATTCCTTAAAATTGGGAAAGCAGAGCTGGTTCTATTGGCAGACAAGTTTTTCCTTGTTTTAAATGAAATAATCTGCCAATGTTACCTGTTTATTTCATCAATATTACGGAAATATTTTATGAAAACAAGCTCAGTTTTTGCAGAAATGATACTTATAATTTAGTTTAGTCTTATTCCAAGTTTATTAAGATATTTTTACTGGACACTAAAGCAAAAATATTTGGCAAGATTTAAATCATTATTTTATATAATTTATATAATAATCAACCACATTCCTGTTTTTTATTTTTCAATTTTTGGATTATAATATCTATATTTTTTAGAATAAATCACATACATACAACTTAGGTTAAACTTCTGTCTCTATATGTTTTTTGTTTATGAAAATAAAAATGGAATATATAAATATATTAAAAAAGATTAAATAGAACTATAACAAGTGTAGCATTAAATGGAAATATAGATCAACAACATAATAGATTGAGTCAATATATCTTGGTTATGAAGTACAAACTAATGTCAGGTGGCATTCTTTCTTAATGTTTGGAAATCAAGGACTTTCCAAACCTTGAAAACAAATCATTAAAATGTAATAATTTTCTGACAGACCAGAAATGCCCTGCAGCTCTCCGATGGTGACCAGGTTGGAGCAGACGTGCTGCTGCCTGTAGATCGACTCTGACAGCAGGAAGTGCAGGTTGTGCAGCGGCATGGTGGACACCAGCGGCAGCATGCCGTCCTGATGTGGGATCTGCACCGAGATGTGGATGCTGAACGTGGAGGAAAACAAAACAAAGCAGAACGGTTACGTTTTATTTAGAAAAATCAATAATTTTTTTGTCTAGCACATTTCAGTAACAATACAGTTCAAAGTGCTTTACAACATAAAAAAACAAGAATCAGCAATAAAACGATACATTTTGCCTTCAATACACATCAAAATGTTGATTAATGTTTTATTTATTATTAATCAAAAGCAATCTGAAGGTTAACACCCAGATTTCAGGCCTGATCTCTAGTTTCCAGCTGTAGTAACCGAAACTGTGCGTTGGTCGTCAGTTTTGTTTCTGTTCAGCTGGAGAAAGTTGTGACTGGATGGGTTCGGAGTCACCTGGTGACATGGTAACTGTTCATCAGTGAGTACAAACCGGTTGGGGTGCTCTTTGTGCTTCACATCCAGGTATTTAAGCGTGGCGATGAAGGACTGGGCCTGGAAGCCTCTGGCGGTTCCCGTGGTAACGGGGGTGTGGCAGATGGAGCCGTCCGTGCCGATGGTGATGATGTTGCTCCGCAGCGGCGTTCCCAGGTGGCCGGCTTTATCCCGGGCCTGAGCCACACAGCGGACGTGGAAGCGACGGCTGAAGTAAATGCTGTCCAGAACCTGACGGGAATGAAACAATGAAGGTTTAAGAGAAAAAACGGAGGCCTTCTAGTCTTTCTGACCTCTCCAACATGCTGTCAATCCAGAGCCCAAATACCTATGAATGGATGGAGACGAAAGGACGAGTTTCTCTAGATCTATGTGGGATATTAGTTCTTTAATCCTGAAAATGTTCTTCAGGTGATAGAAGGCTGACTTTGTTATCATCTTTAAGTGTCTGTTGCCGTTGTTTGCTCCATAAAAACTGGACATTAAATGCTCACCAAAGACATCTGAAGCTCTGTTCTGGTTGCAGAAGCTTTTGCTACCTAACGGGGGTTGAATTGACCTGTATTGTAACCTTATTTTTGACTGAGAGAAGGAAACCATCTGGCCTCACCTTGTGGTTGACGCTGGTGTACGGCGTTGTGTCTGTCACCGTCTCAAACGGGGAGCGCGCTCCGCTAGAGTCGGTGGGAGCCGCCACCTCCCAGGAGAAGTGAACCTGTGTCTGGTTGATTCCCGCCTCCTCACAGTGCTCCTTCATCACGGAGAACTTCGGGTAGTGGGGGTCGCAGGGGGTCACGCAGACCAGAGGGTAGCCAGGGGAGGGAGTTTTCTTGCTGCCTTCTTTGGTCACCTCCTGAACGTGATTGTAGTCGGCCACTGAAACCACCTGAGGAGGCGGGAAGACTCGTGTTAATGCTGTGACTTTGGAAAATGTGTTAAAGGGGTGACCTACTATGCTAAAAATGTACATTTTTAATGTTTTTGTTCCTCCTGCAGTTTCTAAGAACAACCCAAGCACTTAAAAAAAACACCCCGCCTTTCTCTTGGCAATAAGTGAATGTAATTTGGTGTCTGTCTCAAAAACCACCAGACTTCCTGTTACCTAGCAACCCAAGCAGAGATCCAGCACATTTGGTCATTTGTTTTTACCGCTGTACGTGCTGTACAATGGCTGCTGGACTGCAAAACCACAAAATCTTACCATGTAAATTTGGTGTAGTTTCTAATGCAAATATCTTAATACACCTGAAATAAGACAAAACTAACTTACAAGTAACTTTGTTGCAAGAATTATGAGCTTGTTTTAAGAAAATAATTCCTTAATATTGGAAAAAAATATTAGTTCGACTGGCAGATTATCTAACTCATAGTAAAACATTTTTCCTTGTTATTAATGAATTATTTGAAACAAGGAGCTTTTTCATCCATATTAGGGAAATATTAAGTTAAAATAAGTTTTTGTACTTCCATTCGGGTTTCTTCTGCTTCCAAAAACATCCCAAGCTCTTAAAGACAGAACAACTGTTTTTTTGTTGATAAGTTAATGATTTTGGGTTTCTGGAAAAAAAAAAAAATCTCCCAATTGTTAAGTCAGATTTGACATTTGGTCAGCTGGTTTTACCGCTGTACAATGGCTGCTGGAAAAGACAAGTGTTTTGATGTTGACTCAACATCCAGAAACCACTTGCTGCATTCTTGTTGGCTGTGCAGGCGGCTCTACCACTGCTTTTCAAAGATGTGAAGTTGCATAATTGTGCATCTTTTTGCAGTCATTTTCACATGCGAGTGTAAATGTTGAGTTGGAGGGCATGGCCTGCAGCAGCAGCTTCATTGGATTTAAAGTGACAAGAGGCCCTAAAACAGCTCATTCAGAACTGATCAGACTAAAAATCTCATTATCTAAGAAATATTTTGAGAAAAAATGTAGTATACATGTTCTGTATCACCCATAAACCTATCCTGACCTGTTCAAGGAAGTATAATCGGTCACCTTTAAAGGTGAGATGCTTCTAAGAGGTTTTCCTTACTATAGGTGGGGCGGGGAGGATGAGGCTCCCTGCAGCCTCTTGGTCCAGAATCGTCACCGTCGCCGTGGTGATTTCACCCAGCACGGCCTCCACCGGATCATCAGGACCAAGCACCAGGGAGAAGGATTCATGCCACTCTCGGTCTTCATTAGACAGAATCTCCACCTTGAACATGATGTGGTCCGTTCCTTTAAAGCAACAAACAGAGTCAGAGATATTTAATCACACTCAGGAAGCTGCATCACAGGTTCTCTCCACTCACCAGGCGTGAACTTCAGGACCCGACTGTTGGGATTGTAGTCCACTCCAGACTGGGCCGATCCGTCCCTGGTGCTGCAGCGGATCTTGGACGTTCGGTCCAGGTCTCCATGGCGGATCACCTTGATGTTGAGCGCCTCGACGCCGTCTGGGCCGGGCGGCTCTCTGACCTGGTAGGACGCCTGTTCAAACTCGATGGTGGGAGCTGGAGGAGCAGAAGACGAGCGAAAGGTCAGCATTAGCATCGGTAACACGATTAGTCTGATTAATCTTTTCAGCCCTAATTAATTAATAACTTTGCTTAACTTGGTGAGCTTAAAATGTACATTTGCATATTTAAAAAAAAAATATGTTCAAGAAAATGTTTTGTTGTCTCCAACCAAAATGTCTGAAGATTTAGTTTTCCAGGTTTTAAAACTTAAGAGTTTGTGGCTGATCTGTTGATTATTTTTCCAATTAACCAATTAATAACTGAATAACAAAAGGTGGTTAATAGGAGATTTATGTTTTTACAGGATTCTAACCAGATGAAGCTAAAACTGCAACTTGAGGAGTTTTGGAAAAATCGTATTTACAGGTAAAGATTTTTTAAATCCTAATTCTGAAATGTATATATTTTTGAACAGTTTTGGCTTTAAATGTATTGATCTTTCAGCAATCAGCCTTTTTTTAGCCTCTATAATCTAGTTAATGATTTTTTGATTACTAATTTAGTGGGCGATTATTTCACTAATCGATTAATCAGAGTTGATTTGATTAATCGTTTCAGCCATTCATTGAGTGCATTCAGGCTGCGTTTACCATCCTCATCATTGGTGATGGTGATCGTCACGATGTCACTGGCTCCAATCATCGCCCCGCTCCAGTGGTCGCCCTGCGGCGTTCCAAGATGGAGCTGGAATTCCTCCTCAGGCTCGAAGACGGAGTCGTCGTTGATGTGAGCCGTGCAGTTCTTCACCTGATGGACCAACGGAGATTTAATCCCACAAACAGGATTCGGCACAACGTCTCGGTCAACACGTCACCTTCTCTCCTTTGAGGAAAGTGATTCGGGATTCGTCAGCGTTCCTCCTCTCCACAAAGTCATCCATCACCATGGCAGACATGGTCCGAGTGAAACACCGCACCGACGACTTGAAGGACAGGTCTCCGGTCCGGATGATGGGGACATGGAGGACGGTGTCCTTCTCCTTCACGGTGTAGGAGGTTTTGCCAAACTGCATGGTAGGAACTGAGAGAAGCAGCTGGTTTTAGTGATGCGTCAAACCAGAGCAACACGGTGCGGAGGGCTCGGTACGTACTGTCCTGGAAGGTGTCGGTGATGACGATGTCGGCTTCGTAGGGTTCCTGAAGGACCGCCCCCTGCGGAGAACTGAGGAAGATAACGAAGGACTCCGGACCTTCGATGGACGGGTTCTGAATGTCGTCCATGATGGTCAAACTGCAGGTCTAAGAAACAAAAACCAGAGGAAAGTTTGGAAATGATCAGAGTTGGTGGTAACTAGTTACATTTACTAGTTTACTACAAAGAATATAAATAGTATTTTCACTATACTGTACTTTTTACTTGAGTAAATTTATTATGAAGTGTTTCTGCTCTTGAGTAAAATTTCTGGATTTTCTACCCACTGAATGAAAAACAAACATGTTTGAACCAAAAATTCACCGCACACAGACCCACACCTGCAGTTTTTGTTTTTATTGACATAAACTGATTTGGAAAAATTTTATTTTGTTTGATTGTTATTTTTTAAATACTTATATGAATTATTGTCATTTTGGTCTTTAAAATATCAACCTATAAAACTATCATTAAAATGACATCATCAGACAGATAAACATATAAAGCTAAGTGGAAATCTTGGTATTTTAAGGACCAAAATTACAATATTTCATCCAATAACAGCAGCAAAATCAGACAAAATAAAATGTTTATAAATCAGTTTATTTCAATAAAAAACTTATGAAGCTTTAATAAAAACTGCAGCTGTGTCTCTCTGTCTGCTGAATTTCTGGTTAAAACATGTTTGTTCTTCATTCAGTGGGTAGAAAATCCAGAAATTTGACTCAAGTAAGAGCAGAGGTACTTCATAGTAAAATTACTCTAGTAAAAGTAGAAAGTACAGCTAAGTAAAAATACTCCTAACAGTAAATTTTCCAAAAAGTTAATTGTAAACTAGTTACTACACCACTCTGACCACCACCAGGTGTGTGTTGGTACCTCCTCAGTTTTTCCAGGTTTGAACTCCACCTTCTTGGAGCTGGGGATGTAGTCGACTCCTGGGATGGCCGACGGCGGGTCCAGAGGTCTGGTAGCGCACCACACAGACGTCACAGAGGACAGGTCGCTTCCCTGGCGCAACACCGGTATCTCTATGGTTCCTGGACAGAAGAGATCCCAGCAAACTCGGGTCAAAAACACAACCGGATCCACCCGGCAGAGAAACCAAACACATCCATCTGGATGCGAGAGCGAGGTTCACACCAGCATCTTCACTGAACGTAAAGGTCGCATTTCCAAGCGTCACAGTCGACGCGTCGTTGGGTCCGTCGATGACGACCTTGGCCGACGACACGTCGCCCACGCGGGCGTTGTCGGAGGCGTCCGACAGCACCAGCTCGAACTCCTCGGACAGTTCGTACTCGCTGTCGTCGACGAGCTTCACGTCGCAGGTGGACATGCTGACGCCGGGCCCAAAGATGACGCGGTTGTCGCCGCTCATGCCGCGGCTCTTGTAGTCGGAGCCGGACTCCAGGCCGTGGAGGCTGCTGCCCTTCGCCGACTTGGAGACGGTGTAGCAGAGAGCCGACACGGTGCTGGAGGCGTCGCCTGCGTGAAAAGGTCCAAGGCAGTTCAGACATGGAAGAGGTGAGGCGGCAAAGCAACAATCTGACAACATCTGTCACTTTACCAGAAAAAACAGAAGCATTTTATAGTAGAATGTTTCTTTATTTGGTGCCAAATTTAATTTATAGAGAGAAGCAACAAGGAGAACACACTCAAATATTTAAATATTTGGATTGTAAACAAATATTTAGCTCAAAATTAAACTTTTAACTAAAGTTAAAAGTTTAGTTAAACTATTCAGTAACTAAATATTCATTTAGTTACTGAATATATTTAGCTGTTAGTAAACAAAATATTAGCAAAGAATTAAACGTTTAGTTGGGAACTAAATATTTAGTTTTGCAAACTAAATATTTAGTTCCCAACTGGTCACCAACTACACTAGTTAGGATATTAACATTTAGTTTTCATTTATTTTGCAAGCTAAATATTTAGTTCCCAACTAAATGTTTACTTCTGAGCTAAATATTTGGCTCCAAATGAAACATCAATTTAACTAAACATTTAGTTCCAAGTTAAATATCTATATTACAAAATACATATTTATTTTCCAAACTAAACATTTAATCTTCTATTTAAACATTCAATTTCTAAACTAAATATTTAGCTCCAATATACGTATTTAGTAAGATGAAATATTTAGTTCCAAATGAAATATTTATTTTTGAAGCTAAACATTTAATTTAAACTAAATATTAATTTTCAAACCAAGTTATTTAGCCCCAAATTAAATACTTAGCCTGGCTAAATATGTATTTATAAGCTAGACATTTACTTTTCAAACTAAATATTTAGCTTATTACTTAAACATTTAGCAAGCAGGCTACATATTTAGCTTGTTATTCTCTTCCACCTGCTCCCCCATTTTCAACTAATATTCCAGTATCATCTGCAAACGTCATGATCCAAAGTGACATAAACATACAAAAGCAAAACTCAGAATCCAAAGTTTAAAGCATCAGAAGGAAAATCGTCTCAGAGTCGACAGATTTAGTTACCCGTCTAACTCTGAGGGCCGATCTCTGCTTACATTCATCACCAAATCTTGAAACCAATCGTTTCTCTCTACCTTTCCTCTCGATGGGCGCGCTGAAGAAGCCGCTGCTTTCGTTAACGTGGTAAGTCTTCTTGTCAAACTGCAGCGTTGGCTCGTCCTCCGTGTCGTTGATGTTGACGACGGCGCGCGTGTTTGCCCCGAGCAGCGCGTACACCGGCATGCTGAGCTCCACGTGGAAGCTCTCCACCCCCTCAAACACCTTGTCGTCGTTGATCACTATGGTGCAAACCTTGGTGTCTTCGCGTTCGTCAAACTGGACCTGCAGAACCAGAAGAGGAGAGTTTTAAAGAAAGATACAGAACCGGGTGTCCAAAGCGCGGCCTGCCGGCCATTTGTGGCTCTTGAAGTGATTTTTTGCGGCTCTCAGCTGCCATTCGAGAATGATACAAACTTTTTATTTTTATTTAGGTGAAATTATTACCAATATAATCTTCTTACAGTTGAAAATGTTTATAACCAAACTGTTCTAATCAGCAGAACTGAGCGTATTTACAGACTTTTACTGAAAAACCAACTTTGCTGTCAGCTTTTATTTAATTTGCTAAACTTGGCTAAATATAGTATTTAGAAAGAGAGAAACTCAAATAGTTTTCTTATAATAAATTTGTTCAATCAAATCAAAAAGAATTATAAAACTAAATTACATATTTTTAATACAAAAACTGTGCAAAATCATTTTAAAGTTTTGGATCTACAATTAAAAAAAAAAAAATCACGAAACTAATTGTTTGATTTTATTTTAACATTTCTATTAATTATTCATTATTTTTTTTATTTTTTTGGCCTGTGAATTCTGCTGACCTGTCAATTTTGACCCACATGACAAAAAGTTTGACGCCTGTGATATAAATCTTTGGTTCCTTCGACAGCGCACCTGTCCGGCGTATTCCACGTAGTCCTGCTGTTCGGGTCGCGTTCCGGTGCTGCTGGTGGAGACGGCGCTGCCCTGTTCGGTGCGACAGAGGACGATGGCGTACTGGTTGAGGTTTCCGCTGCGCTTCACCGTCACGGCTACGGTTCCGGCTTTCTCGCTCACGTTGTAGCTGAGGGCAAATCAGAGGAACGGAGACGTTATCTTACATTTTCACTGCAAAATCACAAAATCTTACCACGTAAATTTGGTTTAGTTTCTAGAGCAAATATCGTAAATATAATGTCATCAAAACAACTTCCAAGTGACATTTTAGCAGCTTGTTTTAAGCAAATAATTCCCTAATACTGATGAAAAAGAACTAGTTCCACTGGCAGATTGTTTCACTTATAACGAACTGATTCCCAGCTTCTGAACGGTTGCCATGGTTTCAATCTTGCAGATTAGTTTCTGCACCCAGAATTATTGTTGTTTTGATAAAATTGTGAACTCAAATGTAATTATTGCACTTGAATGACTTTGATCTTCTCACAAAAGACTGAAATTTAGGATTAGGAAACAAAGCATCAGTTATTAAAGATTCTTATTTAAACTAACAACAACAAGGTCTCTCAGTTGTGAAATTACAATTCTGAACAAAAATATTAGAAAAAAATAATAATAATGTTTTTTAGAACTACTGCCAGTGGATCTAGTACTTTTTATTCAATTTTACAGAATTATTCACTTAAAAAAAGATCCCATATCTTCCTGAAAAGTCACTTGTAAGTTACTTTTTTTCTTAGTTGAAGTGCACTAAGATACTGGCACTGAAAATGTTTGGTAACATTTTGTGGTTTTGCAGCGTTTTTGCCTTTTTTCAGTGCTGCAGTACCTTTTGTGCTCAAAGCTGATGAGGGACCACTGGATGTGGAAGACGTTGTCGCTGACCACGTTGGGTTTGCTGTCTTTCACCAGAAACTTGAAGGTGTCCATGGTTTCCTGGACGTTCTCCTGACGCAGCACGTAGCGGATCAGACCCAGGTTGACATCAGCTGGAGCACAGAAACACGAGAAGAGCTGATCACCATTCTGGATTATTTTTAGGTTGAAAGCTCTAAATACCCAATCCTGCACCGACAAAGAAGATATCACAAGATTTTTATGTTTGTTTGAGTTTTCTGCTTGAACTCTTGGATCATATCAGATCAAATAACAAATGTAAGAGTTTGACTCTTATAACAAGAAAACAAATAATTTTGTGGGTTGATTTTTGAAATGATAATAAATGAATGCAAGTCCTTAAAGTTTGAGAAGTGACTCATTTCTGAGGCTGTTGCTTTAAACTTCATGTTTTTACAGAAAGAATTAAAAATATTGTGACTGCTTAACTTCCTAATTCTTGACTCAAATATCATCTAAAAAATCTGCAATTAGCAGCTAGTTTGGCTCCATTTTTTTCTTGGCAGGTATTTCTGGCTTCAGTACGAAGACAGAAACTAACTTTGCATTTCCTCCAAAATAATTGCTTTAAAATTTGCCTCCTCTGGCTTATTTCCATCACTTCTGAGTCCAAATGAGTAAGAATATCAACGCTGGCTGACATTTCCTGCTCACCGATTCCTCCCAGAGGAGGCTGGAGAAAATATAAAACCTTAACTAAAGGCAAATGAAGATGCATAAACGCTAAAATGACCTTCAGGTCGCTGAGGGCAACATGCAGCTGGAAAAAAGCAGCACAAACACACACACCAGTATGTAAATACTTTACACCAGAAATCCTTTTCACCTTATTCACTAACATTTATTCCTGCCCAGAGGGGATTATTTACTCATCGGATGTTTCTTATCATCAGGAGAAGTGCTTTTCTGTACTCGGAGCTGAACACTGAACACATTAAAATGAGTGTTTGGAGTTTCTCTCCGGCCTGAAGGATCAACATCTCATAATAAAAACAGGCTGACACTGATTCCAGGCTGCAGCCTGAAGGCGAACACGACACAAACAGGCTCCGAATAAGAGCCCTGCTGATTGAAAGTCAAAATTAACTGGATAAACATGGAAACCTGGAGGAAAGATGCAGCTGAAGAGCATCTAAAGTCCTGAGCAGAGGGTAAATCCTCTGATCTGGACGTCCTGCATGAAGAACCACACAGTTCATAAACAGTAAAGTATCAGGATATTAACTTGCAACTCAAACTACAGATAATTTAACTCTGTGGCAACCTGGACAGAAGGGGGCAGCAATAAAACATGAAACTGTAGCAAATAAATGGAGCTTTAATTCCCTGTGCACTGCAAAAATACAAAATATTACCCAGCATGTTTGGTCTGTTTTCTAATTCAAATACCTCAGTATGTTTGAAATAAGACAAAACAAGGTTATAAGTAACTTTTCAGCAAGAAAGAGGATTGCTTTTAAAAACTGTTTTTGTAAATTTATTTTTTCTGAGTTGATCTAGTTTGCAGTGCAAATATCTTGGTTCACTTGAAATAAAACAAAAATAACTTAAAAGTAATTTTCAGCTAAATAAATAAGCTCGTTTTAAGGCAATAATTCTTATATATAGATGAAAAGTATAAGCTACACCTTGAGATTTTCACTTAAATGAGAGATTAAAGGTATGGAGAGGTTTTGATAGTCATAATTTTATAGATACATTTTTGCCAAATTTAAATAATCTGCATTAAATGGAGCCGTTGACATAGATCATGTCAATGAATATAAATCACTAAATTTATCTTAGATAGCTACATTACATGTCTAGTTCATTAAAACTGTTAGAAATACATTTAAATATATTCTCTGCTGTGATTAAAATAAAAAAAAAACACAATTTTTGCTTTATTTTTGATTGTAAGAAAAGAACAGACTTGAGTCTAACTGGAAGTAGAATGCAATACTCATAAATTAATCAAAGTGGAGACACAGCACATGTAATTTCTGGCAGATAGAAATGAAAACCAAACTCCTCTTTACCTTGTGTGAACGTGTTGACGGGGTTGCCAGGTTTGAGCTTGCTCTCCAGGAATCCGTGTTTGGGCTCTGCTGTGATTTCATACACCAGCTGTCCGTCGTCAGTGTCTGGGTCCATCGTCAGCAGCTCTTTCTTTGTGATTAGATTGGTGGCCTGGCGAAAAAATTAACGGGAATGGATCAGGGAAGGAGATTTGTGAAGAAAAAATACGTTAAAGAAAAGGATGAGCAAAAAGCCATAGAAAGCCGAGAAACCAGCCCAAACTATGACAGCATTTAGTCACAGCACAAGACTCCACTGATGAATGAAAAGTAGGTTAAAATTTGCTTTTCATTCAAGTCTGCAGTCTGGCTGCAGAAGATTTTGACAAACCTGTGAAAACCTGAAGGCCAAAGCTGAACAACATAGGGAATAATTATTGAACACACTGAAGAAAATAATGAACAACAACCCACTGAAAGCCAAGAAACCAGCTGAAGCCTGTCAGCATTTAGAAAGAGATCCTCCTCCTGCTGCAACATCACCTGGCTTTAATACCAAATGATGGCCTGTAAAAATGTTTCTCATCATTAAACAAGCAAGTAAAAGCAAAAAGATTTGAAAAGAAATTATAAACAGGTGCAATTATATAGGTGTACATCTTTGAAAAGCATTAGTAAAGCCTCCTGCACAACCTACAAGGATGCAGCAAGAGGTTTCTGGATGATGAGTCAAAAACAAAACTTTTTTCTAGCAGCCATTGTACAGCACAAAACCAGCTCCTTTTCCAGACACCAAAAAGCATTAACCTAGTGCCAAAAAATGTCTTAGGTTGTTTTTAGAAGCAGTTGAGACCCCCATGGAAATACAAAAACAAGCAAAAGGTGAATTTTGTATAATGGGTCCCCTTTAATTGCATTCCATTTTTTCCCCACAACTTCAGTTGCTGGCCAGTTTGCTTTGATTTCTTCGGTCTTTGTCAGTCTGTCGTCGGTGTCTCTATTAGAAATAGTTAAACTGAGAAAAACATTGAAGTTTAACACTTTTTGCAAACTGCATAAATAAATCACGATGAAAAATTTCGCAGAAATGTCTGTAAGCAGTGTTATTTCCCATATTAATGTAGGTTGGATATGGATTTTTTTATCTACTTGGGGGAAGGTTTCTTCTTGACCTTTAATAAACACTTTCTGGATGAATGTTTTGACAGATGTCTAAAAATATAACAGCAGAAAAGAGCAAAAAGTGATTTTAAAACCCTCGTTGCAGATCAGCGTTGTTATTCATAACCTCGGCTACACGCTGCTATTTACTCGCTAAGTATGAGCTTCACACTTCAGCAGCAACATCCTTGTGTGTTTGCGTGAGCTGCAGCTGAAAAAACACCTCATAATGGCACAAATATGTGCTAACAGGATTTGCTTCCTGCTCAAAAACCAATGAGATGAAGCAGAGGTTCAGCATTTTCATAATTTGCCTAAGTGATAAAACACAGAGGACTTAATTAGCAGCAGCGCAAACAACGCAGGCGAGGAACAATTTCACAAAATGACATTCCAACAGCGTTCAAACAAACATAAATAAGGCTGCATAATTGGCTTTACTTTGTGATGAGTTTTTTAAAAAACACCTGCAGGTTGGGGAATTAAGTTTTATTTTGCTCCATATTTATGAGTCGGTAAGTGAAAAAAATGACTATTTAATTGGTGAGAAATTATTCACACAGAGCTGTGGTGTTGCTCTGTCAATGATTGTTAGAAATTTTCCTTCCTCATTAAAACATCTCAGTTTTTAAGCATTTCTTTGCATCCAAAGCCGTTTTAAAACTTTGTTTTTAGTTTGTTGTACCTTGTTGTTCATGTATTCCAGCCACTGCAATCCCAAGTTGGTGACGATCCGCGGCGTTCCGTCGTCCACCGGAAGAATATCGATTTTAAACTTCTGAGGAGCAGCTGTCACAATCTGCAAAACATAAAAAGACACTTAGAAATACTGTAAAGTATTTAAAAAAATAAAAAGATATCAAGATGACCTTAGTGGGGAAATTACACAGTGATAAATAAATAAGTACTTTTATTCCTTTTTCTCATTAAAAGTGTTTAAGCCGAGCTGCTGACAAGGCGTTATGCAAATACGTTTCATGTTTGTGTCGTAAAATTCAAGAGTAGAAGAAGAAATCCCAACTAGGTGCCTCATTCCAGTTAAAAGAGCCGACCCCCTGCTGCTATAAATAAACAGACATTGGGATTTATAACATCTAAGTTTCCTTTAAGTGTACTAAAGGTGCAGAAAGCAGAGAATCAAAGGGTTGAAATCATAATTTCATGATTAATTCCTGAGCTGAGATTAATTTACACACCAGGATTAAGAAGCTAGATTAAAAAATGCACTGAAGTCTGTGTGAAATTTAATGATTTCTGGTTATATTTTGCATATTTTTGCATCAGTTTCAACTGCAAATATCTTAGTAAACTTTAATTAAGAAAACTAACTAATAAGTAACATTTTTGGCAAGAATTATGAGTTTGTTTTAAGTCAATAATTTCTTAATACTGATGAAAAAGTTCAACTGACTGATTATTTCGCTTATGGGAAAATGTCTTGTTAGAAGTGGAACCAGAACTTTTAAAAAAAATCAATATTAAGGACTTATTTACTTAAAACACTTCAACATAGTTTTACTCAGTAAAAGTAGAAAGTAGAAGTCCAACAAATTACTCAAGAGTAAAAAAGTATTTGGGAAAAACTAACTGATCAAATTATCAATCAATTTAGTAAATATTACATAATCAGAAGGAAAAAAATATAAAGTTAAGTGGAAATTCTTGTGTTTTAAGGACCAAAATGATGATAATTCATATAAGTAAAAGAAAAACAATAAAATCAGGAAAACAAAAAGTTTTTCAAATCAGTTTCTTTCAACATAAATCTTATGAAACTTTAACAAAAACTGCAGGTGTGTGTCTGCCTCAGGTGCATTTTTGGTTAAAACATGTTTGTTCATGTGGGTAAAAAATACACACATTTACTCGAGTAAGAAAATAAAATTACTCAAGTAAAAGTAAAAAGTACAGCTTAGTAAAAATACTCCTAAAAGTAAATTTTTCCAAACAAGTTACTCAAGTGATGTAACTAGTTACATCTGCTGACATGTAGCGATCGGCGGATCTGGGTAATCCTCACATAAATCACTTGTCATTCAGTTGTGTCTCAGAAGAACAAGAGACTTTACAGCCTGTCATCACGCCGACATTGACACACGCCACTAAAGGATCCATTCATCCACTTTATGCATTATGCATATCATATTCAATAACAAGGCAGCGCCAGCGGGAGAGCATCCACCTCCAACATCAGCACCAGAAACCAAACGGAGGAGACGTGTGGATGTGGAGGGGAGCGTTGATGGAGAGGTAATAAACAAAAGCCTGAGAGGCGTTTGTTTGTGTGATTGGATGAGGCGGGTATCGGTACCTGCTGGCTGTCCTTCAGTTTAATCACACACAGACTATTAGTGATGACAGATGGAGCCGAGACGAGGAGAGGGAGGCCTAAACTGACAAGCAGAGGAGTCGATGCCCCCCAGGCTGGCTCATAGCTACGACCGTAAAGCCAACGCCAACATCGTAGCGACAGACGGCCATGTTTCCGTCAGAGGTGAGGAACGAAGCTACGGATGGGAAGAACGGAAGACAAGCGCGTCCAAACCGTGTCCGCTTACCGTAGACCCCCGGCATGTTATCGTTTACATCTGGAAACTTTGAGCCTGCGCACAGCGCTGGAGGGCAAAAAGACGATTTCTTTACATGCCATCCACAGCTGCCGCCGTAAAACAATCAACAAAATGAAACCTGGAGACGAAGGTACTAATAATTTAGTACAGTGTGCAACAGCAAAGGGAAAAATAACGCAGAAAAACCAATAAAGAACAACTCAAAACCACTGTTTTTCTTGCTCTCGTTGCCATAACAACCGACAACAACACCACTGTATGTTTCAGGATTGAACACAAAAAAACAACAAACACAAAGAACAGAACGTTCAATCAGTTGCAGTTTTCCGTTTTTAGGCTCGATGTTAATTTTACGATTATCAATAATCGATCTCTGTGGTAGATTAGAATCCTACGCTTGTGTTATGGTGCTTTAAGCATAGCTAATTTTCTGCACATGTCCGTAGGAGCTTTTCTAACCAATACATGTAAAAACAATAAAGAAGTCAAGTGGTAATACTAATTTAAAATAATAAAACATTCTTCTGTGTCTGATTGCATTTAATTAATATTATGAACAACCACGTGAAAAAATTGGATTTGAGAATCAAAACCTGCTGTGAACTTAAGTTCAGTAGATAAGTAAAAAATCTGTCTTGGGTTTCACAGACGTTTTAAATTGTAATAATTTAAAAGGTTTCTGCTTTTTGTTGTATGTTGATACATATGACTAGCTCTGACAGAGGTACTGCCTTCTTTTCAAGTCATGAATGTATGATATGCTAAGAGGAGTTTGAAATTCAGTCAAAACCGTTAAAAATAACTTGGTGTGTTTAAAACACTTCCTGCTTCCTGCTGAGACGATCAGCCACACAGGGAAACTGGCAGCAACACAACGAGACGATTAACAACCTGTTTATGTTGCACTTATTCATGACAAATCTGCGTTCGGCTCCGTTTCCCTGTGGCGTCTCGGCGCTCTGCGTTTATAAATCAACTCTCATCTCGCTTCTTGTTTTCAATCTGCCAGTGAATCACACAAGGAAAATTCCTCATTATGACCTAAATTGTCTCTTTTTTAACATTCAGTTGTGAATCCTTATATAAAATTTACAGACTGAAAAAAGGAAAAAACATGAAAAGCAACCACTTGGTAGAAAAATGCACTCAAAGGAATCAGAAACTTAGATTGAATTTTTAACGGTTTTTGTTAAATGTATATGAATTTTTTTTCCTTTTTTTCCTTTCAATTTGACAGCAAACATTTATCTTCAAATGTAATGATTTTATGGCGACCCAAACCGAAATAATCAGCAATTAATTGAGCAAATGGCTTCCAACCAATCAAATCATTCTCCTTCAGTCATGTGATTCAAGTGGTGTTGAGCCGTACTATCTTTTTTCTGCAGGTGAAATTTGTCTGATGAATTTAAATAAATAAAAATGAATTTCGATAATACCACAGGATAAAAATTGAGTGGTATTCATTCATTATCTAAAAAATATCTGTTTCCTATGAAACTACATTCCTTCCATACAATTTGTTCAATATTAAATCTAAAAACCAGTTGATTTTTTTTTTTCACTTTCAAAATTCAGAAATTAATTTTCAGTTTAATTTTTTCAGGGTTTTTTTTTTTTAGTTTCAAAAAAACATTTTGTGGAGAATAAACTTTATGGAACCAATTTAGCTCCAACTTTGCATTCCAAGATTATTCCTTAAACAAAGATTCACAGTTTAGCAAAGCTGCTCCTCTTGGAAAACCCATAAAACTACACCGGAACCTTCAGAGCCACATAAAGACGGTTGCAAAGTCAGCCTTCTATCACCTGAAGAACATTTCCAGGATTAAAAGACTAATCTTCACAGGTCTGACTAAAAAAAATCAACCAGATCCAGAACTGTGCTGCTGCTGCTGCTGGTGTTCTGACTAGAACCAGGAAGATGGAGCACATCGCCTCAGTGTTAAAAGTCTTTCCACTGACAGAACAGACTTTAAAATACTACTGTTAGTTTCTAAATCAATGAACAACTTAAAGATCTGCTGTTGTCATTGCAACCTTCCAGACCTCTCATGTCTTCTGCTTCTGGTTCGGCTCTGCTTCCACAGAACCAGAACCAGACACGGAGAAGCAGCAGACAGCTTCACAAATCTGGAACAAACTTCCAGAAAACTGAAAAACAGCCGAAACACCGAGTTCCTTTAAATCCAGACTAAAATCCCACCTATTTAGAGTTGCTTCTGAGACATTATAAATGAAACATTAATCAACACTTTGATGTGTAACGACGACACTTGACAAAATAAAGTCAGCTGTTCACTGTGTGTTTTATGGCTTTATATTTTTGTGTTTTCATGATGTGAAGCACTTTGAGCTGCCTTGTTGCTGAAATAAACAAACTTGACTGACTGAAACCAGACAAATCAACAGAAACCCACCGTTTCAATCATCCTCCTGAAATAAAAACACCTCAGCGCTGCCACTCAGAAACACACACCTCCTTGTCGGCCTCCTCCACCATGAAGAAGACGTTGGTGCCGTCGGCCACGGTGAAGGTGAAGCGGTCTTTGAGCGAGTTGGAGCCGTCGTGGTTGTAGCTGATGCGGTTCTGGTAGATGTCGTCCATGGTGAAGGTGCCGGTCTGCCGGTAGTGCTGGCCGTTGCTGCTGCGCTCGATGGTCCCGTGGCGGGGAGGCTGGACGACGGTGAAGACGACGTACTCCGCCTGCAGGAGAAAACAGACGTTAACGACTTCGTATTTTTGTTTTTACAGCAGAAAAATTACACCAGGATGTAGAAGGAACTACAATACCTGATTTATTGATATTTGAATAAATAAATAGTTTTTAATCTGTTTTTTCAGTTTCAGATATTTAAAAAAAAAAAAGCTGCAGTCTCTAACTTTCATAAAAATATGTTTTTTACATCTTTGCTAAAACTGTCACCATGTTGAGACAGAAAAGATCAATCTCTTCAAAGCAACCAATCAGAGATTGAAGGTTTTAGAGCTACCAATCAATCTCACCTACTGGTGCTAAATGTGCTAATAATTTGTGTTTGTATTTAACATTTTGCATTGTAACAACATTAACTTGGTAATAATTAAAAGTAAAATGTTCGGATCTGGCCAAATTTATTTTATTTTTGAAATTTTGTGGCACAAAATCACTACAAGGGCCACAAATGGCCCCGAGGCGTCACTTTGGACCCCTCTAATCGAAGCTAAATTAAACTAAACGTTCAAGCAACAGAGAGTTTATAACATTTTAATCTGACCTAAAGTAGCCCTGAATTTTGTGAATGGGATTTAGTTTTAATCTGGCTTGGATATATTTCATTAAAGGAGATTCACTGGTTAATCCCAAAGTCCTCCAGAGACACAAAAAAGCTGAATCACATTACTGGCAAGACGTCAAATCTTTATGATTTGAAACACAAAATCCTCAGCTGACCCCAATAGAGTGTGAATAAAATAATCACATTAGCAGGGTGTGATGAAATGTTAATTATTTCACCTCTGTGTCTGCGTCTGTGGCCTTCAGCTCAAACTCAGTGATGGTTTTCCTCACGCCCTCCTGGACTCTCATGCCAGGAACCTGTAGCAGCGGCAGCGAGTCGTCCACTGGCTTCATGGTGATGTAGAAAGTCTGAGCAACCTGCAGGAAAGCAGTGGTTTACAGACTGCTCCAAACCAAAAGAAGCCAAAAACTCAAGCAAGAGTAGGAATACTTCAACATATTTTTACTCAAGTAGAAAAAGTCCAAGAAATGAATAAGAGTAAAAGAGTATTTGCAACATTTGTTGCATTTTCAGCTGCTGCAGTTTGATTTGACTCTGCGCTGCTTCAAACAAATGAAATGTTTTGAAAAAACTGTTCCCCTCCTCGCCTGTGGGGGCGCTGCACCAAAAACCGAAAGGAAAACCTTTGAACAATTAAACTAGCCAAAAATCTCCCACGCACTGTTAGCACTCAGGCGTAAAGGGCAAACGACCTTTCTCACGTTTTCTTTTCTCCTCCTGATTTCCATTAATTTGAATTAGCAAGGCAATTTTATGCATGAGGTGAACGTAGCTGGGGAAGCTAATGTGCTAATTTTTTACCCCTGAGCAGCTCCTGTGTCAGGTATATTTGATACAGGTCAAGCAAATGACAGGATCAGTGAAACACTGACCGCTGTGTTCAGCATGAAAGAGCATTCAATGGAAGAAAATGAAAAAGTGATAGTCGGTATGATGGAAAGGGACATTTCTGGTTAATCAAAACAGACAAAAAGTGTCAAAAGTATGGATCCACTTCGAACTTGATAGAAAAGATGAGTGCATAGATCAGTGCGTATGCTGCAAAATAGAACTGGCATTTCACAAATCAGGCAGACGGAAATACATTCTGGCTATCAATGAATGTATCAATCAGTCATAAAAAAATAGAAATTAAGAACAATTAAAACATCTATTTTATAATCAAATGTTTATATATTCATACCTGAGACTGAAAGTTGCCTCAATTTAAGATGATTTTTAATTTTTGAAAGTTAATGTGAAAAGTTTTATCTGTTTTAACATGTTAAAAAATTTGTCTTTTATACTTCAAACTAAAAATAATTTGTGAATTGCACTGCATTTTAAGCAATAAACTGTTTTTTTTTTAAAGAAAAAAACTGAATTGTTTTTACAACCATTTTCTCTTTAAAATATTCTTTTATCTACACTGTAAAAAAAACCCAATGTCTCTGAATTACGGTAAAATACCGCCAGCTGTAGTTGCCAGAATTTTACCATAAATTCTTTCAATATGGTAAAAATAATTTACCAAATTGTACAGTACTTAATACAATATGGTAAAAAATAAATAAATCTAAATATATTTTTTTTACATTAAATGCCAGCAGCATCTGGTATTTTATCACAAATTATAGATGTGTTTTTTACAGCATAGCTTCAGTAGCTAATAAAGGACAAGTTTTTATTTAATTACTTAATTAAACATAGTAATTGATAAATTAATCGATTAATAAAATAATTGTTTACAATCAATCAAATTTTATTTGTACAGCACATTTCAGCAGCAAGGCATTTCAAAGTGCTTTACATAATTAAAATAAAAACAGCATGTGACATTGAATAAACAGTGAGAAAGAGAAAGATTTTGAAAAAGATTAAAAAAGATAAAAACATTAAAAGCCCTCGATGAGACAAAAGCAGAACTTTTTGTGTGCTTTTGTAACATTTGGTGAAAAAACAACTGCGACATTATGCCAGAAAAAGATGCTATAGTGAAACACGGTGGAGGCAGAGTGATGGTTCCAGAGTAAATAAGACGGAACCTTTTCTCGTCAGCACCTTCCCCTCTTTTACCTCGTTTGTCCCGTCGGACACGGTGAAGGAGAACTGGTCAGCGTGTTTTTCTTCTTCGCTGGTATGAACATACTGGATGCTGCGAGACGCCAGATCAGCCTGAGTGAAGGAACTGATTCTGGTTCCTGGAGGAAAGAAACATTAAAACGCCATCAGCAGATTTATTAATTCATGCAAATTGTGTTTGTTTAGGCTTGCAAGCTTTTTTTTCCCTTCTGATCCACTTATATTTAATCTCTTCTTCTGTAGAAATCTGACTTTTTTATTAAAATATTTAAAGTTTTGTTTATGGTTGTGCAGACAAAGATAAAAGTTTTTTGTTTTTTAACTATTTTACAATTTAAAAAAGAAAAACAAGTATTTTGCAGCCAACAACTACAGAAAACTGTGATAAAAGTCAGAATTGTTAGAAAAAAAGTCAGATTTTTAATTTATTTTTTTCAGTTTCCCTAATCCTCTTCAGTAAAACTGTAATTTTTCCTACAAATTCCAGGACGTACTGATTTGGAGCAGCATTGAGACTCTGTTTACACACAAACCAGATCTGACATCTTCAGTTGATGAATTCGCGTTTTGACGTCTCTGGCTGCAGAACGGGTTCACGGACAGAGATCGTTTAGTCATCCTGACATTTCTCATGCACCATCGATCCGCTGCAGCCGTCAGCCAGCTGTGCATGTTAGCATGAAAACGACAGATTGACTAGCAGCAAAGATCCGGAGGAGCCTGGTGGCTCTGAGGTGAAGTGAAGCTCGGAGAACGGAGGGATCATCAGCATGCTGCAGCTGCATCCAGCCAGCTGAGGGATCCATTCAGCCGAGACCTGCTGCAGCACCGAGGCTGAAGCTGCGCTCTGTAAAGACGAATTCTTCTGTTGTGCTAACAACAGATACTTGTAGCTAGTAAAAACACACAGGGCTGCAGTTGCTCTTCAGTAAATGGATCAACACTTTTAAGATGATTTCTGATTTCAGAAAACCTTTATATTAACCTGAAGCTTCCACTACAGAATGTCAAAATAATTTAGTTTCGATGGCGTCTTTGAACAATATTCACATAAAGGAAGTGGAAGATCTACCACTTTCTGTAAATTAGATTAATTGGATAGATCTGAAAGTAACTGTATGATGACGTTACTCTAAAGAAATTTTAAAGTTTTAAAAATAAAAAAAAAATGTTGGAAAAAAAAAAAAAAAACTGAAATTTCTGTGGTTTTTTTAGAACATTTTTGAGAGTTTTTTTTTTTGGTAATAATTTACTTTAACCAAAGAGTAATTTATTGCCCTAATAATTTAGGTCAGTAATTTATTACCCTAAATTATTTTAAATTAATTTAGGGCAATAAATTATTGTAGTCCTAATACTCCTTTGTACAACCCAGATTTTCCAAACGTGAAAAAATAAAAAAAATATAAGTAAGCTTTCTTTTCTGAGATGTCAACAAACCTTTTAAAGTATAAAGAAAAATTAACTTGTTTTGTGACAAGTGAAATAATCTTCCAGTGGAACAAGTATTTCTGGTCTAGTTTCTCATGCAAATATCACATAAACTAAGACAAAAATAAATTACAAATAACTTTTCAGTAAGATGTAGGAGCTTGTTTTAGGTAAATATTGATTGAAAAAATTTAATAGCTTTTTCGGTGCATGAAAAACGAGCCGTTTCAAAAACCTTACGATCGGTAGGTAACATTCGACGGGCACTGTCCCGTTGCCTAGAACTAAAGGTGAGCTCCGGCATGTTTGGTCAGCTGGTTTTACTGCTGCACAATGGCTGCTGGAAAAGACGAGCATTTTGCTGTCGACTTACTATTTAGAAACCATTTTCAGCTTTTTTGTTGGTTGTGCAGGAGGCTCTACTTTTGCTTTTCAAAGATGTACGGTTGTATAATTGCGCCTCTGTCAGCAGCTATTTTCACGCGTGAGAGTTGGGGGCATGGCCAGCAGCAGCTTAAGTGGATTTAAATTGACAAGACACAATAAAAGTAAAATAATCTAATTATCCAAGAAGGATTTTGTGCAAAAAATGTCATCAATATTTCTCTCCAAACCTGTTCAATAACAGGTCACCTCTAAGTATCCTTCTGCACCCACCTGGGTTGGTGACGTGCTCCAGCTGCCCCAGGCTCGTCTGCTTGGTGATCCGGTAGACGAGTTCGCCCGGTTCGCTGTCCTGGTCGCTGGCCGACAGCTGCAGCGTGGTCAGCTTCTTCACCGAGTTTTCATCCAGCACTAGGCCTTTGTTGGCCACCACAGAGGGAGGAAGATGATCCTCTGGAGAGGAAGACAAGCATATGAAAAAACAACTCACTGGAGAGAAGCAGGAACAGATCAAACTTTTCAAACATCAGGGAATAAAACCAAAACAAATGAACTGAAGAAGACAGTTTTAATTCACTATTTTATTACTGTTTTTAATAATGTCTTGTGATAATTTTCTACATTTCGCATCAGAGACAAGGTAAACTAAAATATAACAATTTTTTTTTTAGTTTGGAACCTGACTGGAACAAGAGCAAAACACTAATTTAACAAAAGAATATAAAAGATAAGACAACTTTTATTTCAATTACACTAATCAATAAGTCATTGAGCTATTAGGAATAATAAGCTACAAAGTTAAAGTTATAAAAAATATACATTAAATGTTTTTTTCTTCTAGCATTTAGCAAATAAAAATAATTTTGGGAATTCTAACCAACATAAAAAAATAAAAAGTTTAGTCTGATTTAACTTCAGGCAGAAATAAAAATAACTCAGTGTCTCTTTATTTGGTGTATAGAAATATCTCGTTTAAACTGTTTCTACTTTCAGGTTTTTAATAAAATGCTAGATTATACTTTATTACAAAACTGCCTTTTGAATATTTCCAAACCTTAAAAACACCTAATAAAAATTCAAGCATTTTCAAGGACCAGTTTGAACCTGAACAGATAAATTTAACAGGAGAAGGAGCAACAGAAGAGGATCCAATCCGTTATAAATGTGGAAACAGGGTTAAAAGTTAAAACTGGTAAAGTGAAAAGGAGAGAGGTGAACAGAAACCCTGCTGACATAAAAAATATAAGAACAGCGCAGAAAGCTGGTGGAAAATAACAAATGGAGAAGCTGTTGAGCTGCGAGGAAGAGAAAATCTGTCAGGAATCACAGCAGGTTTCAGCCTCAGGAGGAAGAGCTGAAACTCGAGTCTGGAGACCCGGAAGGCAGGGAAGATGAAATCTGAGCTATACAACTAACTACACCGCAAAAAAGGTGTTGTTAGTCTACTTTCAAATGCAAATGTCTTCGTACACTTTAAATAAGACAAAACTAACTTACAAGTAACTTTTCAGCAGCTATAGGAGGTTGTTTTTATCAGAATCAGAATAGGTACTAGTTTACAAGTTACACTGGCAGATTATTTCATTATAACTAGTATTTTTTTAATCAATATTAATGAATTACTGACTTAAAACAACCTCCTATTTCTAGCTTGCAAAATTACTTGGTAAGATTTTGTGTTTTTGCAGTGTACTGTTTTGACTTCAATGCAATCCCCAAGTTATTGTCCAACAATTACAAACAAAAGAAAAGCCGAAGCATAACACAAAAATCAATTCATACTCCTTTCAAATGGATACAATAAAATAATTTGTGGGAATTTGCGGGGTTAATTAAATGTATCGGTAGTGCTCTGAGGACTCTGAGGACGTTTTGTATTCAGCTTGTGTCCCGTGTCGAGCGCAGGACAAAGGCATAAATCTGTAGTAATTGCCTTGTCTTCGCCAACAAATGAAAGAACAGTTCAGGCCGTTCTCTTTTTAGCTGCAGGTAGCGGCGAGCGGAGGAAACCTCACCGAGAACGCTGATGAAGAACGACTGGTCGATCAGTTTGTTGCCCTCGGGATCCACCAGGTTGAACTTGAAAGACAGGCTGCCTCCTTTCTCGCCTTTCTCGTGGCTGAACCGCAGCAGGCCTGCAAGAAACCAGAAACAGAAAACACCCGTTGTCATGACAACTCAAAGCACGCCGCTGACTGCTGTGGCTGCTACACATTATTAAATCGCGTCTGATTACGGCAACTTCAGCTCGAGTGAGACGAATCAGGAGCGCCGGCTTTACCTGCATCTAACAGAAAGAACTTCATATTTGTTTTCCTGTGTAAATACAAATGAGTGGTGTTAATTTTTACATGCTTTTAATTTGAAAAGCCTGTTTTTTTTTTAACAACAACAAAACACTTTCTTTTCCAGCAGCCATTGTACAGCAGTAAAGCCAGCTGACAAAACATGCTGCAGTTCAGCTGGGGTTGCTAGGTAATGGGAGGAATTCCGTTGGGGTTGCTAGGTAACGGACGGAATTCCACTAATGTTGCTAGGTAACTGGCTGTGCCTGCTGATTTGTGTCATTATAATCTGAAGTTTTTCGAAGGAGCTTGAGATTGTGATTGACAGCGCTAAGTTAGCAGTGGCAGAAGGGAGAGGAGTTTTATTTTTATCACAGATTATCTGTTTCATGTCATACTGACAGTTTCTACAAATGTTTTTTTTTTTTTTTTTGCAAAAGTTACATACTGCACCTTTAATGTGTTTTTGTATATTTTAAAATTATTTTTATGGACGAGAGAATAAGCTGAGAGAGAAGAACGGCGATATTACGAGTTCATAAGCATTTTTGACGATTGTTTTACCTTTAAAGATAGATATAATAAGGGATTTGAATAACATGTCAGAAAAGGAAAAACATTGAAGAAAGACTAAAAAACCCAACGGAATAAAATATGAAAAAAATAAAAATGAAAGTTAAAGAAATACATAATTTTATAATTGATTATTGTACGTGCACACTGTTGGTTTTCAGGAGGTGTATTTAATTTTTTCATTCATTCATTTTGGCTTCAAGTTTGTTAACTAAATTACAATATTTTGGAAAACGTCACTTGTTTCCACCATTTGGTTACATTTAAACAGTTTAAAATGGGATAAGGACCAGATCAAACTTCTGATTTTGACGACATTTATCAAAAATCTCATAATCTTTCTCTCAGTGTTTAGCAAATAGAATTTTTTTTTAACACACGTAACATAAGAGAAGTTTGGTCAGATTCAGACGGTGAGGGGGAAAACAAGTTGTTTGTGTCTTTTCAGAAAACTTCTGGTGGCAAAAAGTTTACAAAAGCAGCGATTCACTTCTACCACGACTGAGTCAATTTAAAAAATATATATTTTCAAGATTTTTTCTTTCTAAAATTAAAACTTTAAAATGTCACTAAAAAGCAACATAAAACGGGCTGCAGGTGAGGAAACAGTGAACAGTAAAAGAAGACAAAGCAGACAGTAGAAAATAAAACTTAAATCTGTTACCTTGGTTGACGTCCTCCTGCGTGAAGCTCTGAACGGGACCTTTGACAGAAACCTTCTCCACATGGCTGCCGCGGCCCAGCTGCAGCTTCCCCGCCGGCGGGTCTTTGGTCAGGATGTAGCGCAGCTTCAGGTTGTCTGAGTCGACGTCGGAGCCCTTCAGGTTCTGCTCCGAGATTTTAGACGAAGTTCCTGCAAAAAACAGAGCATACAGTGAGCTACTTTTAGTTTTACTAATCGATTATTCTCACGATTAATCAGATAAAAAAATCAACACATTCTGTAGATTTTTCATTAGGTTGAAATATAATCAAAAATACAAAAAAACATGAATAAAGAAAATGAACAATTGCAAAAACACAGCATTCCTTCAGAGAATTGTAGAAAGGAATGTTTCTGCAGCTAAAAGTTACTTCTAACACGTCAAAAATGTAGCTTAGCTTTGTCCTTTTTCATGTGTGCCAGCATATTTACACTAAAAGCTAGACAAACAGAAGTTGTGTTTTGCAGTGTAGTCGCCCGTCTCACCTGCAGGAAGCTGCAGGCCTCTGTTGACGGTCATTCGCGGCCCCTCGCTCCTCCTGACGTCCATGGTGAACTGCAGCAGGCCCGTCTGGGTCTGCGTGCCGTCAGTGAGGGTGAAGCCCATTTCGTCGGCTCCCCCACTGACGGTTTCGGGCGTGTAGACCAGCAGCCGGTCCAGAACGTCCTGGTAGGTGAAGGTGGATCCCTGTGTGAGGACGCGCCCGTTTTCCAGTGGCTGAGAGTAGAACTGCCGCCGGCGAAGTTTTCCTGAGGAAACACAGGTTTGTTAAAATGTGGAATAATTTCAGCATTAAACTTAGACAATGTCCAAAAACAAAGTTGTTTAAATTATTGCATAAAATATATGATTATTGCTTCTGATGTGGACCAAAAAGCTGAACTCTGGTTGGTTGAAGTGGTGTGGAAACCGCTTCGTCTACTTTCTAGTGCAAATACCTCAATACTCTAGAAATAAGACAAAACTAACTTAGAATCAACTTTTTTTAAACAAATAATTCATTGATATTCAGAAAAAATGTTGGCGTTCCACTTAGGCCTGTCAGAATAAACAACAAATCAAGGAATCGCATGATAAATTGAAACAAACTATAATTTCCATTTGTATGTGAGAGTTTGGTGTTAGCAGGAGAAATGGCTCATTTTTCTTTACCAACAAAAAAGGAGAAATCTTACAACTGCTAAAATCTGACACCTCTCCATTGTGTGAAGAAGAAAGTTGCACTCAGTGTTGGCTTTAGGGTTTTTTTTGTCAGTAGTAATTGGTGTAGCGCCCCCCACAGGCGAGGAGGGGAACAGGTTTTTCAAACAATTTCTGTCGTTTGACACCATGCGGCTGAAAATATAACAACTGTTCCAATTTTATTCCAGATCAAACCAAGACTCCCGGAAGAATCAAGTGTGAAAACATTTTTAGTTCATTAATTATTTTCACAGGAGAAATTTCTAATTCGGTACATCATTCATAGAAAAGATTCATCTCCAAGGCGAGTCAATAGGTTCACCCTTGCAGCCGGAGAGCGTTCCCCTCTGATAAATACGTTTGTTTGAGCGGCTCGCTGGAGTGAGGACGATAAAGAGTTAGCCAGTTAAAAAGACAAACTGCCTGGGTTTCGTCATCTTGTCTGAAATCACTCAGATTCCCGCTCGGTCCCATCAGTCGTACTCAGCGTTGGTTTTACAGCGCCGTCACACTCGACTTCACGGGATGTTTTACGGTGCTTTAACTGCAGGCGGGATGTTATTACAAAATGTTCACACTGGGGGGTGTGTGTGTGTGTGTGTGTGGAGTTTAAGAGAGAGATGGAAGATGAAACCAGGAAGGCGGCAAATTGAGAATTTTTTGGGTGGAATAATCCAGGAGACGGCCGTCATGTATAGACACTCGAGGATTGACAGGAAAAAACAACAACAACAACTCGGTCCCAGGATTTTAGACACTAAAGTTGGTCTGGATGATAAATTGCTGAATCTGTGATCTGTGTCTTGTCTTATGAAGCAATTTCTTTGAGCCCACCAGGCTTTGGCATCGTATAAAGAAAGAAAACTCATTTTGGGGCAGAGAGAGGAATCTACGGAGGTCAGCCGGTTTGAGTGTGTGAGGAATGGCTGCAGACGTCGCCGTGTTTGTCTTGTTTTAGGCAATCTGTGTGTCGGAAGTGAGAGTAATGTGTTTATCCCTCTGTGTGCGCGATCTTCTCCATCACATTCAGGATAATTTACAGTAGAAATACTTCAACGTCACCGCTGAGCTGGTGGTTCAAATGGGACAAACTATCCTACAAACGCTCCATATGCACTCAGTCTGTGTGCTGCTGATGAAGGTACAACATGATTATTTCAAGATATTTCTTACAGTTATTAATTAGTTCTTGTGACATTTAACAATACAAACTAAAATATAACAATGTTTCATGTTTTGAAATGTTTATATACAGGACAAAACACAAATTAAACACAGAATCCTACAGTTTCAATAATGTACAAAATATAAATAAAATGCAAATATCTTAGTAGACCTTAAATAAGATAAAACTAACTTAGAAGAAATGTTTCAGCAAGATGAAGGAGCTTGTTTTAACTCAATAATTCATTTAACATGGCAGATTATTTCATGTACAACCAGAGGTGGGCAGAGAAAAAAACTACTCAGGCAGAAAGAAGTGACTGAAGTACTAAGTTAAGTGGAAATTTTGGGGTTTTAAGGACTAACATTACAATAATTCATATCAGTAACAAAAAACAACAAAATCAGATAAAAGAAAACTTTTCTAAATCAATTTCATTCAATAAAAACCTCAAGAAACTTAAATAAAAACTGCAGGTGTGTGTCTGGTGAAATTTTTTTTTTTTCTAAAAAATGCCAGAGCATTTTAAATCCTTTTATACTTTTACTGTGTTCTATGTTGAAATGAAGAATCGTATTAATCATCTATGTTGCTTATGTCTGCGCTCACCATAGGTTGGGATCCTGACGACGGTGAAGACGAGTTCGTTTTCCGGCTTGTCGCCGTCGTAAACGCTGAGAGACGAGTTGGTGACGACGACGCCGGAGTTTTCCTCAACATGGACGCTGCTGACGGAAACCGTCAACTCAGAGTCGATTTTACTCTGCAGGACCAGATCAGAGAGAAATGAGGAGATAAAACCCGGAGGGAAGGAAGGAAGGAGGGAGATGGAAACACCAGAATCTGAATCAAAACTCAGATTTCAGTTTGAGCCTCTAGATAACTTAGGTACCAGATTTCTCACCCTGATTAATTCTGTTTGATTTTAACTTAATTTTACAGGTTATTTTTTGCTCTAAAGATGGAAAAAAAGCTTTAAAATATTTCCAGATGCTCTATTTTTATTTTTTTTACTGTTTATTGCTGCAAACGTTCACACTGCTGACAGCCTCATCAATTCAACTGGAGTCTAAAAACAGGATTAACCGGGTGATTGAAGATGGCAGCGATAGTTAATTTAGATTAAGTGTTTCTCAGATTACATTAGATGGATTATAGATTACAATAACTTCCAACATTTCAAGGTGTGCAGGTTTGTAGATGACAGTGAGATCTATGATAAAGTCTTCCTCCAGATGTTAATAAAACAAGTTGTAAGCTGTTTAAAAAAGCTTAAAAAACTGGCTTACACTGCAAAAACATAACATTTTACAAAGTACTTTTATGTAGTTTCTAGTGCAAATATCTTATAACACTTGAACTAAGACAAAAATTAACTTGCAAATAACTTTTCAGCAAGAATTAGGAGCTTGTTTTAAGCAAAAATAGTTCTTAATGTTGACTTTAAAAAACTGCTAGTTCAATTGGCAGGTTACTAGGCAACGGCCGGAACTCCACTGGCGTTGCTAGGTAACGGGCAGTACCTGCTGATTTGTGAAGATAAATTCCGTACATTTGTTCCAAAAGCGAAAAACATTAACTTATTGCCAAAAAGCAGCTGGGCGGTGTTCTTTAAACGCTTGGGATGTTTTTAGAAACAGCACAAACTCAAACGGAAGGATAAAAATGTAGAAAATTTGAATTTTGTATAAATAAAATCCTGATCTGCTTGAAAATCAAAGATAAAAGAAGTGGGGACTGGTTTAAATACTTTTGCTTCTAAATAATTTGGGAGCATCAAGTTGATTAGAGAAAGCCTTTTTTTAACCACAAAAAATCCTCACGTTCTTTTATAACCAAAAACAAAATGCTACGGTATGTTTGTCTCAGCTGTTGCACTGCGGACGTTTCTACCTGGATGTTGATCTCCACACTGAACGTCTCCGTCTGGCTGTACCCGTCGCTGATGTAGAAGCTGAAGACGTCCTGGCTGGCCTTTTGCTGGCTGTCCTGGACGTAGAAGACGTGATCAGAAACCAAATCCTCCACAGAGAAAGGAACATCTGGAGTCACAGCGCGCGAGCCGCCCACCGAGCCACCTGCAGCGGCACAAAGAGAGGCGCAGCCGTCACAGCTGAACCGTAACAACAAGAACTGCTGGCCGGGAATCACTTCAACAATACGGTCAACATGTTTACAGGGAGTCCTTACAGGGAGTGTTTGTGCATCAACATTGCACAAACACAAAATCTTACCCAGAAAAGTTTGGTCTAGATTCTAGTACAAATGTCTTAGTACTGTGAATTAAGACAAAACTAACTTACAAGTAACTGTTCAGCAAGAAATAGGAGGTTTTTTTAATTTAATAATTTGTTAATATTGAGGAAAAATTTCTACTGCCGTTGGCTGATTATTTCACTTATAACAAAATATGGTTCCCATGTTATTTACTTATGGATGGATGGATAAAATGCATCATTTTCATCTTTTCGCCCCTCCCCCACCTGCTGCTGATGCCTGCAGGTCTTGTATTAATCTCCATCTCTGCTCGTCTGTTTCTGTCGTTTTTTTCTTACTACTCCTCCACAGAGGTCAGAGTGCAAAGCTAATAGCTGATCAATGATCTAACATGGCTGCCTCTGTTAAAGCTTTCCTTTCCCTTTGTGGAGCCATTATCTTGAGCTCCGATATATCCAATAACTTTCAGGACTTTCTGGAATCTGCTTCAGAACCGGAGGCTTTAATTTGATTTCCTCCGTCCTGCTCGTGCAGAGCTACATTTGCCAGGTCCGTTTTCGTCTCAAATCAGCTTTCAGAGGATAAAACATCAGAGCATTTGATCTGCAGCGTTTCTTTTCCAGGACATTTAGCCGGGATCGTTTGAATGAGACACAAACATAAAAGTGTAAATTATCGTGAGCGACGGGTTTAATTGGATTTGTTGCTTTGTGCAGCTGGTGAACTGAACTCGCCTCTTTTTGTGTTTTCGATGAAGCCGTATTTGGGAGGGCTGACGAGCCAAACCTGCAGCTCGGTCTGTGGCGTTTCCACGTCCGATACTGTGATGTGATTGGTCGACAGCAGAACACGGCCGCCTTCCTGGACCTGGCGATTACAGGAAACGAGTCATTCTGACAGAGTCACTTCAAATACAATGGTGGGAACATTTATGCTAATTCAGAACAGCTTTAGCGCTTTGCTAACATTTAGCTTCCCCTAAATGAATGTTTTTTAATATATTCTAATTTACCCAGCTGTTTTGTAAACTTTCAGCTGAATAAAATCCTGTTTTGATGTTTTGGTTATTCTTCAAGTGGACATTTATATTCATGCTCTTATTTTGAAGTGGATGAAGTTTGTTTACAAAGCAGTTCCACTTCCTCCCCACTAATTACTTTATTTAAAACCAGTAGCAAAGAGGAAGAAAATGAAACATGGACAGTGGAGAACAAGATAAAAACATAAACACATTTATAGCGCATGTAAATTACAATATCAAAAATAAATTGTACAGTTGTAGTCTTTCAAGGTCATACATAATTTAATTCAAGTTAGCGCATTAGCTACTGCTAACTTGTCAATTCAGCAATTAATTGAATAATTCAGATATTAATCGATTATTAAACTAATCATCAGCTGCAGCTCTAAGATTTTCTAATATCAAAGAAGAATAACAATGAACAATATGACAAGTGATGCTTGAAGTAAGTTTTTGTGATTTAAATTCTGATCTTACTGAACATGTTTATAATGTTTTTAGCAGTAAAACAGAGACAGGAAATATTCTAACGAGACGGAAAGGCACTGGACGATGGAACAGAAGGTGAAGACAGTTTGTGATAAGTTTTAGAGCATAAAGCAAAAAGTTCATGCAAAGTCAGGAAGCACACAACTGGGAGTACCAGGAAGACAACAGCTAGCGCTCGCACAGTCCAGTTCTGGTGTGATGCAAAGGTGGGCTGACAGACAGAAGGTCGCAGAATCACAAAGCAGAAACTCCAGACGGGAAGCAAGTAAAGTTTCCAGACAGCAGACAACAAGTTAAAGGTCAGGGCTTTTAATGAAGACACACAGGAAACGGGAATCTGCTCACAAGGACCAAGAACGAGTTAAGATGCAGGCAGAGCCAAATCATGTTGGACTCAGAGAGTAAATAAGAACGGAAGGAAATGTTCAAGGTTGTTCCGCAGCAGAGAGTCGAGTTAAAGTCAGAGAGCGAAGCGAGGAACACAGGAAGAGATGAAAGCCTCGACTCCAGACTAAAGTTTCTCTGCAAAAGTATCATTTATGATTATTTTCAGTCACAATAAGTAATACATCAATGATGAATTGAAATGATATTTCCATTTCTTTTCTCTCTTTCTACCAAAAACTAAATGATAAAACTCTTCAGTCTTTTTGAAGGATCATTTTGTTTAGAATTCATTTTATTTATTGTTTATGTTGTTTTGTTTATTTATTTTGGATATTTGAAATATATTCCAGTTCTAGTGTTAAATGTTAATTAGAATTTAAAGTTTACTGATCTTTGAATGTTTATTCTTTTACCATTATGCGCTGCAAAAACACAAAATCTAACCAATTAATTTTGGTCTAGTTCACAGAGTAAATATCTCAGTACACTTGAAATTAGACTAGAATTAAAAGTACATTTTTTACAATATATAAGAGCTTGTTTTAAGTCAATAATTTCTTGATACTGATGATAAAGGATTTGCAGATTATTTAACTTGAAACAAGACATTTTTCCCATGTTATAAATCAATATATATATATTGGTTTTTAATGATTTATCACATGAAGAAGCTCATTCACATGTAGTTTTAAATTAATTTATTATTTAATGTAATCACAGCAATTGTTAAATTGTGTTTTTGTCAACATTAGCAGAATATTGATAAAGATTTTTGCACATAATGGAAATGCAGAGCTGCAGATCTTCTGCGCTGTAACAAACAAGGTGTTTAGTTTCACCTTGTTGAAACTAAACAGATGTTTCATTACTTTGCACCAGAGAGTTTACTTCTCAATTATTTGTTGCAGCAATATTTCTTATCCTCACTTTGAGGATTAATATAATATTCATTAATTCACTCAGATGTGTTTTCCTCTTCCTCAGGTTGATAACTTTGGTATTAAAATAAAACAATAGCAACAAATTATATATTTCCCTTAAGAAATCCTGAAAAACTACCACCTGAGATCCTTGTTCTGCTGAAAATGTGAGCAGATTTTGTGACTCAACATTTAATTCTGGTGATTCAAACCAAAGTGAGTTAAAGAGGAAGGCAATAAAACAGGAGCCCACCTTGATGCCGCCCTGCACAGTGACCACCGGCGGCTGTCTGGGCGAGGCCGTGATGGTGATTGTGCACATCTGGTTGTCGAGGCGATTGCTGTCTTCGTCGTGAACAACGAAATGGAAGACGTCCGTCACCGGCTGGCTTCCCGTCTCCAGCGACGTGACGTACCTGCACATTGAGCACCGGGTTGGTTTTCATTAGAAAATCACAAACTGACCGACATGCAGGAGGAAAAAACTTATCCTGATTCAGTTCAACAGAAAAATGCACGAAACCCAGAAAAATTCAGGATTCATTCAAATGACTGTGTTAGCAAAGCATGACAATGTTTGCAGTGGGGCTGCAACTGACGCTTATTTTAGTAATCAATGAACCTTTCGATTATTCTGACAATTAGTTGATTAATCGGATAAAAGGGGCACGCTCTCCAGATTTTCTAATTAAACACTTAAACATTTTATTTACAACAGAAATACATTAAGAGATGCAAATAAAACAAATAATTCATTTTTTTAAAGAAGAAAACAAACATTTTATTGCCTAAAATGCCATACAATAACATTCCTTTAGTGAATCTGGCCTGAGTGAAGCTAAAACCTAAAGATATTTACAAAGGTGTTTTTTTTATCTTAAATGCAAAATGTATTCATATTTATAGTTTTAGCTTATTTACTGCTCTAAATATGATGGTTTTCAGCAAATTGCTTTTTTCCAAAACAGTTATTTCAACAATCCATTAATCACGATTAATCGTTTGAGCCTTACTTTAAATAAATAAAAAATATTTATCCTCTTATTTTACATTTATGCTAATCCAAGTTTATGCTAACAGGCTCAGTTTGAGAAAGGAAAAAGGTTCAAGTCTCGTTTTGTGTCTTTCAGAAACATTAGATTGAAGAAAAATAAGTTAGTTTTAAGTTTTCCTCTCCTGGTTTCAGCTAATAACGACTGCAGCTCCAGCATAAAGAACCCTTAACACCATTATATCACCTACAATCTGGAATAAACAGCTCATCTCTTCTTTTCAAGTGGTGTCTTTATTAGAGCTCCTTCGGTCCTGAAGGCCCTTAACGAAACCAGAGATCATAATTACACCTGGAAAATCTTTTGACTTTAGGATGAGAGCTTCTTGTTTTTCTGATAATGACTTCTTTGGGTTTTTTAATAGCCTTAAAAATCAGCCTTCCTCTTCAGGTTGCTCTGCTTCACAGGCTTTTACGGGTATCTGAAGTTGCACTGAAATCCTAATGAGATGCGATCCACAGTGTAAAAAGTATTAACTTTGAAGCTCAGAGGAGCACTTCAGAAAAAGTGGATTTAAACCATTAAAAGGTGTCAGTAACTTCATCAATTTTCACTAATGCTCTACATAAATCAGTAGCTCCATCGCCTGGATGTCCCTGCCTTACCTGATCCTGTGCAGGTTGACGTCCTCCTGGCTGAAGGAGGAATACTCCCTCAGCTCCTGCGCCTCCTGCTGGGAGGAAGTCCTGGTCAGGACGCCGTACATCGGCACCGACACCAGCTGGATGTGGATCTGGTCGTCAGAGGACGTGTTGTCCTGGCAACGCCAAAGCACAGAGGCTCTCAGCTCAACGGGGTTTTATGGGGATTTTATGGGGCAGAGCTGAACAGTGAAGTGCTAAACATTAAAAACTCTTGCCTTTAACTATACACCCCCTAAAGTGTCATTGTTCACATCTGGAAATCTCGCACATAGACGTGCGTAGGGCAAAAAGACGAATGTCTCACATGCCATCCATAACTGCACTGCTGAGTCAAAACAGCTGAATAATCAAAATGAAACCCAGAGATGCAGGTCTTAATATTTCAGTGCAGTGCGAAACAACAAAGGGAGAAAATAACGTAGAAAGAACAACTAAATAAACAAACACATTTTTCTTGCTCTCTTTGCTACACACAGCGTTTCCATAGCAACTGACAACAACGCCACTATATGTTTCAGGATTCAACCCCAAAAAAACACTCCAACATTTCCCCAGCAAAGAACAGAACATTCAGTTTTATGTTTTTATCCTTGTTGTTTAATTTGGGATTATTAATAACTGATCACTGTGGTAGATTAGCTACTGCTGCTACAAGCTAAGCTAACACAGTGGTGGTTGACTGGGTAATTTAAACAGCTGCTCTACTGATTATCTGTTAGAGTTGGTGTGTGGGTCTATTTAATTTTTTTTTTAAACTGAACTGAAACACACCTGATTCCACAGCACATCTACATGTTACGGTTGTCATAGTCAAGCTAGCATAGCTGACCTCCTTCCCTTTTCCTCAGCACTTTGTTTGAAAGCGCTTTATAGACAGTTATTATTATTATGATTATTATAAAAAAGTCTGATGCGTTTCTAAGACCTTTTACCCAGCATGCATCTCTCCCCACTCACTGTGTAGGCCAGGTGTGAGCGTCTGATGACTGTGCTGCTTTTCTCTCCCACTTCCAGCGACAGCGTAGCTGCCGGGTCTCTCTGTGGCCCGTCGCCCGCTCCGTCCAGCACCGTCACCTGCACCACCGTGGTCGCCATGGAGATGCCGTCACTGACCGAGAAGGACATGGCGTCGTCCTGGGTGGAGAGGCCGGCGTGCCGGTAGAGCAGGACTTGGTGGGTGACGTCGGCGAAGGAGAAAGTGTCGCCTAGAGAGAAAGACAAGAACCGATATCTTAAAAAAATGACAGATCGGCAGATGCCGATATCTTGTGCACCTATTATTAGGATAATGTAGAGTCCTTTGAAAAGAGAAAAACCAGAGAGCAGATCATATATACGTCGATCAAGAAGTCTTAATTTGTCTTAATTTACAATCAGAGAAACAATTAGAAGAGCTTAAAACAACTGGACCTGAGAGTCAGATACATTTTTGGCTTTTCAGCAAAAAAAACATTACAGCAGGATTTGCTATGAAACTCCAGAACGAATAATTGACATATCACCTCATTCCCACTTCTAACTACAGCGTAGGATCCGTCATTCTGTGGGCTTCAACAGGAAGTAAGGCAGAGTGTCTTTCAGAAAACTAAATTTGGGTTATTTTGGGTTTTCAGCAGCATCAACACAGAAACCGATCTCTACAAAAACACAAAATCCTACATAGTAATTTTGTCTATTTTATAGTGAAAGTACTTGAAATAAGACAAAACTAACTTACAAAAAAAATTCAGCAAGATATTTGAGCTTGTTTTAAGTCAATAATTACTTGTTCCATTTGCAGATTATTTCACATATAAGAAAACATTTTTCCTGTATTATAAGTGAAATAATCTGCCAATATTTTCATCGATATTAAGGAATTATTGACTATTTCCTGTTTTGTCTTATTTCGAGTGTACTGATATACTTGCACTAGAAACCAACACAAAAATATTTGTATTTTTGCAGTGCAGATCCAAAAACCTCCAGAAGGCTTTTTATCAGTTATTGAACAGATTAGGAACATAATTTGCCATCTGATATTTTCCTGTCAGTATCTACAAGACAAACTGACAAACTGTTCATCAGTGCAGGTAAACATGGCCGCCTCACTGGTTATCTTCTAAGATGCTTTTATTTTGGAAATAAATGAGATGCATTGCTAATGAATTAGAAAACGGAAATCCGTCTCTCTTGTGGTCGTCTTGGTTACCGTTACTCATGCGGACGTTGTCGTCCCTCCTCATCAGCTCTCCGTGGATGGGAGCGTCAACCAGCTCAAACTCCAGGTCGTCCGGCGCCGTGTCGGCGTCGCTCACCGCCAGCTGCTGACCTCCTGCAGAAAGGAAACAGACAAGAGAAGAGAAAACGCTCAGAGAGAAGCTGCTGTGGAGAGGAATCGAGCTGCTTGTCATTGTCTCTCACCGACTGCAGCTTGTCCCCCCAGCTGGACTTCCAGCAGCGGGTCCAGGACCTGAAACACCGGCGGCTGCTGGTGGTTCGACAGCGGCAGGATCACAAAGTCCAGCTCAGGAGTGGTGTGTTCGCCGTCCGACACTGAGGCACAAAAAACACAAAATGTAACAAAGACCCGCAGAAACAAACACAACAAGGCTCCACCGAGGGAATTCCTTTAAATAATAGAATAAAACAACGTCAAAGCATATCAATATGACCATAAAGCTGTGAATTTCACACTGTAAGTGTAGAACAAACTAATAACTTTTCATAAAAATGAAAAAGAGCCAACTACCCTTTTTAAAAAGAGTTGTAACAACAATTTTAGCTGTTTATATTATTTTTATGGAATAATTGCTTTGAATTTCCACAACAGAATGACATTATAAGAACCAGTTATATATTTTTAGATCTATTTTTCTAGTCATTAAGTTGGAAACTATGTTATTTTTTACATCATTTCAACAAATATCAACATCCCAAAGAGGAAAATGTGTCCATCCTCTTTTTGCAAAAAATGCTGAACCCTAAAAACAGAAATAAAATTGTGGTTCTGTGAAACAAAACCAAAATTCCTGGAGGATATATTTATCAAAAACTGAAAGTTTTGATTTTTCAAAAGGTGAGGTAGCATTAACAACCCAAACAAGTTTTATTTTCCTGAATTATGAATGAACTTTTTGGTGTTTTGGTTTATTAACTGAATAACAAAAAGCAGTTTGACTGCTTCTAATCTGTTCCTGAAAAACAATGTGTCAGTGAAACACTACCAAACTACAGTCTGTAGTTTACAACCAGGCAATTTAAAGAGACCAATTAACCCAACGGCTTCTGAACTGTGGGAGGAAACCCATCCAAGGATGAGCGGATAATAAATAAGAAAGATACAAAGATCAGATTAAAAAGGGAAAAATACAGAAACACCAGGAAAACCTGAACAGAAGACAAAACAGAGAAGTGCAAGATAAAGACAAAGAGGAAATATAAGGAGACATCCTCATCAAAGACAGCCAAGACAACACAAAAAAGGTTAAATTAGAGAGAAAAAAACACTGGAGGTGAAAGAGAAGGAGTTTGTTTGTATAAAATGAGGACAAAGTGCCTCCTTCATGCTGTCTCCCTTTCAGGTTTCAGGTGGGTGGAGAATATTTACCTGTGAAATAAATGCTCAGCGACTCCGGCAGGCCTGTCGGGTTCAAACACAGCAAAAAGTTACAATTGGAAGCCGATGAAAGTAAAATAAACCCCAACTGTGCATTCAGGCACTGTCGCACTGCACAAAAAACCTCAACAAATAAGCAACAAGGCTTAAAACAACTGAGGAGGCAAAGAGGATGGAGGTTCTGCTCCAAAACCAGGATTAAGAAACATTTCACTCGGACCGCTTTGATGTTGGATTATGGATTATCTTTCAGAACCAAGGTGACTTAAAATATCCTCTGAACTTCCCAAGCCGCCCTCAGACTGCTTTTAAACGGAGTTCAACCTCTGCGCTGCTTTTTAAGAGACTGTGTCCAGAGTTTATAAAATGGCTGAAGCATAAAATCATGACTGGCTGAAAGTGAAGTCGCACCAGTAAAGGAGTACTGGTAGAGCTCCTGGAGGTGGGACGGCGCTGCCGGCGGTCGGTAGATTATCTTCCCCTTGTTGACGTCAGCCTGTGTGAAATGCTGCACTGCCTTGTACGGCCGGTCCCGATGCTCGAGGAGTCCTGGAAAATAAAACACAGGAAGTGACAACGTTTACAAACTGACTGGGACAAAAGTTTTTACATTTTATTCGCTTCCAGGTAAAACATGTTTACATTTCTCAGGTCAAACAAAGAGACTCCAATGAAAGACGAAGGAAAGGAAAAGATCCGACACTTCAACACATGAAGGATTTATGTTAAGTTATGTAGCGCCAATACATAAGGAAGGAAGGAAGGAAGGAAGGAAGGAAGGAAGTGAAAATGCACCCATTCTTGATAAAAATACATTTAAATAAAAAAAATAATAAAATTTAAATTTTTTGTGTTTTATTTTTATCTGCTCAACAATAAAATGGGAGAATGTCTTGAAATATACAAAATAGTTAGATTTTTTAGCAGAAAAGGGAATTGGTGAATAATTTTTAGATCTGAAACATAAAGAAATATCTTGATTGGATGTATTCTTATAAGACATGCATAAAAGTTTGAAACTTTTTGGGTTGACAGCTTAGGAGGAGTCTGCTTAGTCTAAAAGCTGAAAGCTGGTTAATAAATTAGAAATATATATTTTTAATGTATCAACCATTTATTATTATTTTTATTAATTAATTCATTAGTTAATATTATTTCAAATAGTTTTATTAAAGAAAATTTTACTTATGTAAAAAAAGTGTTTGATAAATTCAGCTACTAAAATGAATGAAAATCAATACAACGTAAAAATATGAGTAGAAATAGAAACCTGTGTGTGTGTGTGTGTGTGTGTGTGTGTGTGTGTCTCACCTTGTCCCGGTAAAAGCGGCTTGGTGACGTTATAGACGAGCTTTTCGCTGGGAGTCCCAGAATCGATGAAGGAGAGCGCTGAAGGCGTTACTTCTGTCACCTGATCCTCCAGAGCCTCCACAAATAGACACAATTAATAGATTAAGATGAGAAAATAAAAAAGCAGCTACATCTGAAACCAACACGACAGACTTTGATCCAACTATCGGGATCATATTCCAGACACAAACTACAGTTTTATTACATACAAATGTAATAAAAGGTAAAAAATGAAGTTAAAAATAAATAATTTTGAAGAAATTATCAGGCAACTCATGAAAATAGACTCATGATTTCACTTCACTTTGCTACTTTCTCCTACTACTCTCCAGATTTACATTATTTCAATTTTTAACTTCCTGTTCTCTGTTTTTTACTCCTCTAGAAGCTGAATCACACAGTCATGTCACTAACACGACTCAACAAGTTTACATTCATTTATAAACAACAGTTTAAACTCAGGAAGACTTCAGAAATCAATACTGTGTTTGGTTTTGCTTACGGTGATCTGCAGGTCGCAGTCCGGGGCCAGCTGCGGGAATCCCGGCATCTGAGGCAAAACGCCGATGGTGAACGTCTGGGCATCGCTCTGAATGAGAGGAGAAACGTCCGAGGAAACCTGCGCGCGCGCGCGCACACACACACACACACACACCGTTCCATAATCAGACATTGAACATCCGGCAACAGCTCAGTAAATTAAAACATCATCAAAACGTTCATTTATTTTAGGGATTTAATTAAAAACTGAAACTCCTGTTATGTAGATTCATCACACACATTCTCCATCTTCACAGAGAAGGTTCTTCAGAGTCCAAAGTCTTAATTTCTCATGAATTTTACAATTTATTTGGGAATAAAGAGTCTGGAGAAAGAGTTAAGAGGCGAGTGATCCACACTGGTTGGAGTCCAGTGTGACGTTTCAGGAGGCCATTTGGTTCTGGTCCACAAAGTCCAAAATTAGGACAAAATCTTTTCTTTTTTTTGAGTCTGTTTACTGCAGTTATCAATTAATTGATAATTAAATTAGTTAACACTTGTTTCAATAATTGATTAATCCCAATTAATCGTTTCAGTCCTAAAGTAGATAGAGCTACAGTACAGGAAAATAATGCTTTTTAATGAGTCTGCAAACTGAAGTTAACCATTAATATATTATTCAATAATCTGATGATTATTTCAATAATCGATTAATCACAATTAGTCTGATTAATCGTTTCAGTTTTAAGCCGATAAGAAAACAAAGGGCCTGCTTTTAAACTGGATTCCTCCAAAATATTTTCCCCTTGAATTGGTTTTCTCTCTTATTGTGGAAATAAAACATAAAATCAAACGTCTGACCAGTCTGACCTTTACGCTAATAACCTAGAAAAGTGATATCAGTTCCTGCTGTGACAATTTTCACAGGTGTGACAACTGCCTGGAAAGAGGTCTGATTGTTAGAGTTCAAATCTTCTGTCAACAACCACAGCCATTAAACTTTTACAATGCTTCAAAAAGAGTAAAAAAAGAAAAGAGTCTGCTTTCATCCCAGCAGATGAGAGGAAGCTCTGTAAAGCACTTTATGGAAGCGCTGAGGGTTAAAGGTTGCTTTGAAAGCGGAGGGCGCTTACCGGAGTAACCGCTCACATCCCTCCGGTCCTCCCAGGTTAGCAGCTTTTCTTCTCAACATGTTATCTCCGAGCGCTAATAGCCACTAATGCTGAACACGATCGGCTTTCTCTGACCTCTGAGCTTCACGCTTCCAACATGTTCGAGGTTTTCAATTAGACTGTGAGAGATTATGATGACTGAAGGCAACACGACTTAAAAGAAAAGCTTCATGTTTGACCCTGAAGTCGTTCTGTCTGAATCCACGCTTTGTGTCGCATCTTTTTGGACGTAAATATAGTTTCACAACTTGTAGAGATGAAATCAGTGCCACCAATCACAAGTAATGTGATGTCATGAGAGTCAGAGTCAAGTCAGCGGGATTTATTGACGGCAGCGTTGCTGCGGTAAATTACCGATTATACGGCAGATTCGATTCAACATAAATGCTCTGCTGCTTATATATGGTACTGCTTAAAACTTTCTGAAGGTCTCTGCTTTTTTGTTGGTTTGTTTCTACAACAAACTTCTGTAATCTGTTCATATTTGTGCTAATAAAGTTCAGCAAGTTTATAATAATAATAATAATAATAATAATAATAATAATAATAATAATAATAATTAAATATTATTATGTTTTTTTGAGATCTTTCATCCTACTTTACATTGTGAGAAGGTTTATGAATTTAATGCGCCAACCAGCTAAAGGAGCTATTAGGCTTCCTTTTAAACCGGTTAGGTCTCCGGGCTATGCAAAACAAGTTTATTGATTTTTTTTTTTTTTTTGCATAAAATCCTTCTTGATTGATTATATTTCAGTCTGCTCAGTTCTGCCTTTCAGAATGAGCTGTTTTAGTGCTTAAATCCACATAAACTGCAGCTGGCCACGGACCCCAACTCAACGTTTACACTCACACATGAAAATGGCTGCAAAAAGATGCACAATCATACAACTGTATGTCTTCAAAAAGAAGAAGTGGCGCCTCCTGCACAATCAAAAAGAATGAAGCAGGAGGTTTCTGGATGGTAAGTTGACAATAAAACTCTTTTCTAGCAGGCATTGTACAGGGCCTACAGCGGTAAAACCACTTGTGTTGCTAGGTAACAGGGCTGTCCACTAAGAAATATTAACTTTTTTTTTTTTTTAAAAAAAAGAAAAAAAGAAGTGTGGGTGTTTTTTTCTGTTTGCTGGGTTGCTTTTAGAAGCAGTAGAGACCAAAGTGTAATTAAAAAAATACAGAAAAGGTTAATTTTGCATAATATAATCCTTTTAATTAATACTTTGTTGAGGGGGGTGATTACTTTTTCACACTGGACCGACTTTTTTCCTTCTTAAATTCCTTAAGAATGGAAACTACAAAAACTGGGTTAAGAACTGTCCAACATTTCAATAAAACTGGAAGGAAAGTGGAGAACCATCATCTTGGAGGAAGAAATGTGGTTGGTAAACAACCCTGAATGATTGATGGTAACTTAAACATTTGATGAAATCAAACTGAAGAAAAACAGCAGTAACAGTGAAAGTAACTAAACTTTATAGACTATCAACACCTTGAGAAGTTGCTGTGGAAAACTTCACAAAGCAGAACATTTCTGGGACATTTTCTTTTCTCCTAAAAAGTTATCCTTGAAACTGCGATGTGTTCAAGGATAATTAGATGTTGCTTTCAGCTTCTGGCTGCCTCTTGCTACTGAAGGTGGAAAACACTGATTAATACTCCATTACAGGGACTTTATAGGATTTTGAGCCAATTTGCGAATAATTTGGCTGCATTACTGATGTTCAACATAAGCCTCTGTAGGATGATCAGCTCTCTGCATCGGTTCTGAAACTTGGATTAAAGAGGTGAGAATCTTCAGCAAACAGAATGAAGATGAGAAGGATAAAGTTGGCAGATTTAAACCAGCTTTGAGGTGGCTAATGCTCCAAACTGAAGGAAACTTTTAATTATTTAGCAGCATTAATACGCCAGATAATCAAAAGTGCTTTTCATGACAGAGAACAAAAGTTAGATATGATAAAATACAGACGCAGAGATGTGACAAAAAAGAAAAGCTTTTTAGATTTCTTTGAACAGTTTGAGAAAGTCTTAAGAAAAAGAACAAAATTGGAGGAAGGAGGTGAAGGTGAAGAAAGATCGATTGTGAGACGGAGAAGTAAGAGAGAGAGATGTTAGAAAGGGCAGAGTCTCCAGGAGAGAGACGGTGGAGGTGAACTTTGTTTGAGCTTCAGAAAAACACCACAAAGAGCATAAAGTCCAAGAAAACAACAGCAGGAGTCTTTGTCACTGTTTCCTCTTTGGATTTATTGTTTTTACTCCCATGTTACATTTTTAATTTTCACCTAGCAAACCTAAAAATGGATTTTGGCTTATGGTCACACAGAGACTGAAGGAAAGTAAGCAAAGCTGAAAATAGATGTAGATATTTAAAGAGATGGCTGTGGGAAAAGGTTTAGGAGTTGAGCTTTAGGACACAAAATTATACAGATCTTAATCCATAAATTCAGAACGTAACCTTTGACCTCAGGTAAATACAATGGCGTATTAGGGTAAATAGAAAAGAAAGGAGGAGAAAAAACTCTGAGATTCTGAGATTAATCTCAGAAAATTTACATAAACTACTTAGTGTGAAAAGTCAAACATTTTTGAGAAAACACGTAGTGTAATTCTTCTAGAAAATAAAATATAATTTGAGTTGGAAAGTCAAAAGAATTGCTAGAAAAAAATCTGAAATTTTGAGATTAATTGCAGAAATGTTCTAGATAGAAAAAGTTTCAGGAGAGAGTTTCAAATTTTTGACTTTTGAAAAGTTTGAAAAGTTAATAGTTTGCAATAAAAATAAAAATTTTGAGAGTTCTTTGGATAACAACTCTGATTAATTGGACCAACTCCAATTAATCAATTATGTCCAATCGATTAAATGGATACAAAATTTGGCACATTTAAGATTATTTCAAATAAAATGTTCTACCAAATTTGTTTGGTAAAACATATTTCTTATGTTCTTTGGTAGAACATATTTACAGTTTTTGTAAATATATTTTCTGTGCAGTGTTTTGTAAAGTTTCCACTTTTGCGAAAAGTGAAAACTTTTCCAGAAAAACACTCAAAAATTTAGAGATTAATCTCAGATACTTTTGAGAAAAACTTAGAGTTTCAAAATCAGAAGTCCAAAATTTCAGACTTTTGTGAAGTCGAAAATTCACCTCAGATCCATCATTTAGTGAGCAACATTAAGCCCGGTGTGAGCGCTGAGCCCTGACCTGGAACTGGAAGGAGTCGCTGTCGTAGCTGGAGCCGAAGTGGCGGTACCAGACGGTGCCGTCGTTCACGTCCTGCTGGGTGAAAGACGCCGTCGGCGTGAAGAGCTGGTCGTCCATCAGGGAGGGATGCCAGCCCTCTGGGGGGCTGTCAGCCGGCATGGACACAAGCACCACCTCCCCTGGACAGAGGATGAAGGTGATCAAACGTTTCTCCTCTCATTGTGCAACAAATCAGTCATGCAACATAAGGAGAATAAAAAATAAAGGGCATCAAAAATTCCCTAAATATACGACAGTGGAGTTGGTTTTAAGAGACTGAGCAACTTTAATAATANA